CGCCGGGCAGTGTATTGAAAAAATACAGATTTTTTAAACCCCTCCTTAATTAGGGACCATTGACAAATTTACTGTCACTATCTGGTACTTTACTGTAACTTTTGATCCAAATGAGATTTAGTTGAGAAGCAGTTGATACAATTTTCCTCATAATTCTGTGCTTGCTCTTTACGATCATTTTGAAGTAAAACCTTGAAAAAATTAAGTGAGAACATCGCAAAGTTTATTCAAATTCATCAAGAATAGTCAACTTTCGAATGACTTTTTACCTTTTTGAAATTCCTTCGTAGCCAATTACAACCAGAGTCCAATCTGATCAAATAATGCCTGTTATTGACTTTGTCACCTAATAAAAAGCTTGAACTTTGATAGCATGTTCAAATATTTAACAAATGCAACTTTCAATTTCCGCGAGCAAAAACTCGAGGAAAGTCATGATTTAATTCGTGGAAGCATCAAAGATCCTTTTATACAGTGAATTAGCAAGTAAAGTAAATGGTTGTGTTTACTGTTGAGCCTACGCTGTTTGGCTCAGCTTATGTTACGTGTACTCAAAATTTTATTGGTCCTGGTTGTCGTAATGAACTGAGAAATCGTTGTGAAGCCAAGGGTAGTTCGAGCGTGAGACAAGCAAACAATTTTCAACGATATGCTGAAGCTATTGATAGTTCAAATCAGATCAGGATAAGTGTTCTTCAGCTTTTGTCAAAGATCTCATAAAAATGACAGTATGTTTGAATCCTCAAAAAGACTAAAAAGTTTATGTTTAGAGGCGAAAGTATTGCTCTATTCATTCATCTACTTGTATTTCTTATATGAGTACAGAATCGAGTCCGATTATTCACACATTCATCAATTTTTGCTTTTTCGTTGATGAATTTCATTCATTTCACTTTCATCTTACATTTTCAGATTACCGACAAACCAAACGCTCATTTTTATGTATCGTTTGTTATTTTTCTGTTATTAAATGCTTTCCAAACTGACAAACTTGTTTACAATTTCGTCTTTTCAAACGTTTCTTTTCACTTGACTTTGATTCAGTGTAAAGATTTACTGAGGTAATCTTTGATAAACAGAGAAAGAGCAATGCAGTTGAAAAATGAATTGAGAAGCAAAAAGGTTTCGAGATTGGAACACTTTTCGCTTGAAAATTTGAACTACTAAAGAAATATTATAAAAGGAAGAAATGACTTCTTTTTCGGTGGCAACAAATTATCAATAAGAAAACTTTTTTTCCAGAACTTCAATTTTCTTTCTTTTTTCAGCACACTTTTATTTACATTTTTCAGTTTCTCCAACTTTAAATGATTATTTTCCAAAGTTTGTTTGACTTTACCCAGAACATTATTAAATAAAAAGATTCCTAAATGATAATGAAATAGTTGAAAAAAATGATTCCAAGCTGTAATAGACTCTGTTATAGAGCAAGAAAAAAAACACAAATTAAAATTCGTTTTTTCATTCAATATTAGTTCAATTTCACCTTTTTCAATGAACTGTGTATTCGTTGAAAGCTTCGAATTTATCATTTTGTTTCAATCGTAGAATATTAAATTGATATTTCAAAATGAATTCTCGTGATTACTCGCGAATTGCAAGGTTACTGACAATTGCATGCTCATTGCCAGACAAGAAACTTTCAATGATAATTACATGTTTTTGCAGACTCGAGAAACAGTATTTTTGTTTCAACATTTTCTTGCTTCACTCCGTTAGCAAGAAAAAGATGTAAGTCAAAGTAACTATTTCTGTTTTTGATGTCACTATTATTTATCAAATTTTCTAGTTGAAAAAGTTTAACATTGTCAGGAGAAAATCAGGGTTTTTATTGATGTTTATGATGAAAATGATGATGATAATGATCATGTCAACTTTGTAGCAAATATGGAAATAGGTTTTAAAGGTTTAAAAAGCTGTTGATGTTTGAAGTGAGAAGAGTAAAAACGGTGACGTAAATTTCAATGGAAAACAAGGTAAAGAGAAAGTAGTAGCTTCAATATGAAATTTTACTTGGAATGACATGAAAATGAGTTGCGATACCAAAGTAAAATTTCAAGTTAATCTGTCAAGGTGTAGATGTTGATTGGTTGAAACAAAATATGGAAACTTGTAAAGCTTATTTACTGAAATTCATGTGTTCATTTAATTTTTGCATCAATTTTATAAGATTAACTCTGAGCCTTTTCAAAATATGTAATCAAAAAAAAAGATAACGTTTGATGGAAAGGATTTAAAATTGGGAATTCGGGAAACTCAGTGATTCCATACCGTTTCGTTAATCAATTGCTTCTATGTAAAATTCATTTATATTTCCGATGGTAAGAGTTATGAACATGTGATTAACAACAAACGATCTGAAAAATTTTGAGTTTTCAGAAAATAACCTTCCAATGTCAATTAGAGGTCAAATAAAGAATTTCAAGAATAACCTTGAGCGTTCGAATTTATGGTTGTTCAATCTTCATGGGCTCATAGGTAAAGTCTGAGGTCTGTAGCACAGACCTAAGCTAAAACGACAAACGAAAGTGGCTCTAGGGTTGCGCAAACCCTGGTTTCTGTATACAACAGAGGTCAAATAATGGACTGACCTGAGTGATGACCAGAAACAGGTTGGAAAAACAAAAAAAGTGCCAGTATAAAAATGGCTATATGGAATATCTGAGAAATTTTCAGCTTGATTCATATTTAATTTGCTTAGAAGTAGCAGTGCGAGATACACATTCTGGTTGGCAAAATAATTTGGATGCCTAAAAATAGCTGATTCAGCAATGCCGCGAAAAAAACATGAGCCCTGAATAATTTGCAAAATTGCAATGATCTTTGTTTAGAGCAACTTGAGTATGCTTTGAAAGATTGTTAAGTCGAAACGAAGTTTGAACATCATTAATCGCCATATACTCGATAGCTCTTGATGTTCTCTGGCCAATTTTCATTACTCTTGACCTCTACACCCATTTCCTTAGTTACTTTAATCTAATCTGACTGAAGCTGGCTCAAATCATTTAACTTAATTTGTCTAAACAATTTGGTGAAACCAAACCTTTTGACCTTTCCCTGTATTCTGGTTTCTGATAACATGAAATAACAACAAAGGCATACACAATACAAATTTTAATGGAAAGAGGAGGGAAACGAAAGAAAATAAAAGGCAAAAAAATAAGCAAAAAAGGAAAGAGTAAAAATGTTAAAAGGTCAGAATAACGTATCAAATTTAATGAATAAATGCAAGCTAAAGAAAAGTTGAACGATGATAAAGAACGATAAAAGAAGAAAAACTTTTCTTCCTTGCCTAAAGACCAATTCCCAATTGAATATAGCATTGCGATTTGATAAGTTGATGATTGATTGATTAGCTGAAACATCTTGAAACTTTCTCTCGTTCATTTTCATCTTAACCATAATGACTTTGAATAAAGACAGAGATTGATTAAAGTAAACCGAAAGTGGCTACCAAAACTTGGCTTAAATCTTTACATGGAAATGAAAAAATGCAGTAAAATCAGTTGCTCTTTATTATTCGAAAAGTTTCAAGCTGAACCGTGAAATGCTCATCAAAGGCTCGTAAAAACGAGAGAAAAAAACAAGTGAATTAGATGAACTCAAGCAAGAAAGAAAATCAAACTCCAGAATTTCTCGTTTCTATCTGATGGAAGCAAAATTTTGGTAAAGTTTCAAGTGACTTTTTTCATCTAAACTTCATGAGCTGAAGATTTTTTTTGCGAAAAAAATCAATGTTTTTTGCTTTTTAATCGATTCACTTTTGCGATAATTTCGTACTCAAAGTTCGTCAACAAGAATTTTCTCTTTTACCAGTTTTCCATTTTCTGGACATGATTGCCTTCTTTGTGGAAGGGCTGCTCATCAATTGAGAGATTAATTGATGCGAAATTTCGATTGAGCGTAAAATGCGGAAATGTATGTTTACGTGTTTATTCATGAGTTGATAACGAAAGAAGATGAAAGTAAATATTTCATTATTTTGATTAACAGGGCAAACATTGTCGACATAATAATGTATTTAGTAGACTCTTAATAGCTTTACGTTATTCAACATAATCAAGGGAAAGCATTTCAAGTGAGTTAATCTGAATACTTATGTTAACTACTAATTATACATTATATCAAAAGATATAAACAATTATTTCTGTTTACTGGAAACCACTGAATCCTTTTTTTTAAGTATACACATGCGAGTTGCTTCTTGTTAAATGCAAATAATTACTTTATTCAACTCCAATTCATTATCCTTGTACATTGAAAAGATAAATTAAAGAGCAAATTGATAGAAACGCAGAATCACATTTACGCCAGTTGAATGTTGATTGTCGATAAAGAACGAAACTCGAGTTTTGTTTCTACCAATAAAGTCAAATCAAAACTAATACAATTTGCAATCGATAACATTTTTGTTTCATTTTGTCATTCTTGTTGCTTCTGAAATCATTGATTCTCAATAAGGGAACAAAGTCAAAGGAATTACATTGTTTCTGTTTTCTTGTTTGTACCAGTAAGGTTATCGATGGTGAAAAAGCAACAAAAAACTCAAAAAGGATACAAGAGTCAAATGGATGGAAACAACAAGGTAAAAGATATGTTACCTTTTGAACAAGGAACAATGAAAAAATGTAATATTTCTTTTCATTGTGATTGATGGTCAAAATGAGATAAAGAGTAAATTCAGCACAAAAAAGGTAGACTTTCAAAGTTGATTTGTAGTTGAAAAGAGAACACATTTGATGGAAAAAATTGCAGGGATTTTTGTTCAAATTTCATTGAGAATGCAAACAAGTTAATCAGGACCATTAATCAAGTCCATTTTGCAAAAACAAGATTCAAGTGAAATTTTTTGTTCCATTAATTTTTCGAATTTAGAGGAAAAAAATATCGACTAACTTTGATAATCAAACAATATTGAAGTGTCCAAATTTGTGATAATTGGACCAATAATGGTGACATGAGTAGAAAAAGTTTGCAACAAAAAGGTAAAGTTTACTTACGACAATCCTTTTCATCTGAACCGTCATCACAATCCTTGTCACCATCACATTTCCAATCAAAATTGATGCAACCTCCATCAGCACAGCGAAGTTCACCTCTTTGACATTCAACTTTTCCCTCTGAGTTGCATATGTAGGACAAGTGACGAGAGCAGCAAGTCCATGATATGAGTAATGATAATGATGAAATGAATTAGAAAATGGAAATGGAAAGCAAAAAGATTACATGAAGTAGGAAAGAAAAAAGGACGAAAAAAGAAAATAAGATTTAGAAAATCATTTTTTTCTCTTCATTTTATTAGGCATTCTAATTCTGTCAGTTGTATGGATAAATGACCCGAGTCAATGTACTAATGAAATTGAGCATCAAAAAGACCATCAATTTGTTGATTAGTTTATTGCCTCCAATTCGGGTCATTTTGATATTTCTGCCTTTTCTTACCACATTTATCTTCATCCGACCAGTCACCACAATCATTATCTCCATCACAATGGTAGGCTTCAGCGATGCATCGTCCATTACGACAACGATATTTACCAGGAGGACATTTTACATGATCCATTGGAACTTTGTCTAAATTGGAAACGAGTGAAAATGCAGAATGAAAATGAGGTCAAAACAAAGAAAAAGAGTTTTCCAAATGAGAAGCAATTTCCACCAAAATGAATTTCCAATGAAGATACAAGTTTAAAAGATGGTAAATATAAAAGCACCAAATGATGAGTTGGGATAAAATGAAATACAAACATTGCTATATTAATATTTGATACAACTAGAAATGGATGAATGCAAAAAAAATAAAGTTCTTGGAATAAATCCTTCCAGGGAATTGAAATTACATGATACCAATGGACATTGTCCTACTTTGATCACCGTTCTTTGTTTACTCTTATTCATGATCTTTCTCAATTTTCTATTTCATGATATTTTCTGTCTTTTCCATTAATATTGTATTCTTTTAAATTATACACTCAATAGACCAAGTTAAACACACACGTAACAAGAAAAGTTGAACGATTTTGTCATTCCATGTTTTGCAAATTCTTTACAAATTCATAGCAATCGCAACGTAATTTAAAAGAAAAGTTTATGAAACGAAAAGAAAAAAATCGTTAAAATTCCAAAATTCATTTTCTTTTCCAAACCTGCAACTTTGCGCAGTTCCAACTTCGAACATTTTCCTCTAGAATTTCAAGGTTATTCAGAGCCATTTTCTAAAGCTTTTGAGAAGAAAAATTCTCTTAAAAATGTAATCTTTCCTTCAAAATATTGAGTAACTTGATTCCCTGTTGAATGCTCATTGAATTTTTCGTTCAACTATTTCCATGCAAACTATCATGGGCATTGATGATGTGAAGAGAGTTTTGTTTACGGATTCTTAATTTGTTGTCTCATCAAAACTGACATTTACTCTGTCAGCCTCAATCAGCTTTTCATCGAGTCGAATGATTGTTTTAAGTTTTTGTTATTCTGTTTTAAAAATGTTATCTGATACAAAATACAGGTTCAACACTGAGCCTGTAAATTTTTATCAATAAACTTGAAGAGAGAAAAATTTAGTTGCATGGTTCAGTGAAGCAAATGTTAATCTTTTCCCATTTTTGTCACTACTTTTATCACCAACAATTTTCATTCCTGTTTTCAGCGTTTCCATGTTGAGCAGAAAGACAGCAAAGGAGAGAAGACAAAAAAAGAGTTTCATGAATTGAAGCAAAAACAAGTCGAGAAAGTGATAACAGGCATGAAGAAAGAAAAAGATAGAAACAAAAGTTGCCTGATAACATATTGAAGGGAAATGTGCATACTTCTGTTGCCATTATTCATGAACCAATTTACATGTCAACGTTGAAAATCATTCAGACAATTCAAAATATTTGAAATGGAAAGAAAAGAGTTGAAAAACTTTTCTCCTCGAAAAGAGCAAAAATTGCATTTGATTGAGAAACATTTTCATATCTTTATTCCAATTGAACAAAAGTTTCGACGACAAAAAATGGAAACAAAAAAAAAGGATTGAAAACATGAGAAGAAGAGGAAAAAAAAGTTCAACTTTATCAAGTAATTGGTTGATGGAGAAGCTGGAAAAGTGAAGCGAAAAAAAGAGAAAATGAAAATGTCAAAGTAAACAGTTGAACAACAGGCAAACATGCAAACAAGAAACTCAATAAAAGTCTGATGAAAGGAAAAAAAAGAAAAATGAATTTCTCAGTTTTCGCAAAGAAATGATTTTACAACGAAAAAGGTAAAAGTTGAATTTTGGGAAAAGACGAAGTTGGCCAGTAAAAAGTTTGAAATCTTATCTTGATTGAAAGTTGATTTTCGAGTCGAAAATGAAAGAACAGAGAAAATGAATTAATGAATGATTCAATTATACTCCAAGTAAATGGTGCGGCAAGAAAAGAAAAGAGAAAAAAAAGTTGCTCATTTTGCCGATTCAGGTAAAAGTAAAACTCAGAGGAAGAGCTCAATTTCCCATTGAGGAAATGTAATTAATTTCGTTTCTCTCTTCTTCTCACAGAATATAATTTCACATTCATAATTAATGAAGCCCAAAATGAAAAAGAAAAGAGGTTAAATTTTGAAAGCTCAAGAATGTAGTTTCCATTCATCGACCAGAATCATCATGTAATGTAAACCCTTTGGTTGCACACTTTATATGGTAACAAGTAATCAACGAGTAAAGATAATTAACTCTGTGTGTTGTTGAACGATTCATTATGCTGTTCATCAGATTAATAAGATTGTGTGTTGCCTTTACAATAAGGTAAAAAGATGGAAGATGGAGAGAAAAATTTAAAACCAAAATTTGATACAAAACTCTTTTCTATTCCTAAATGATTATTTTATTCATGAATCATCATTTTACCAATTAAATTATGAACGAAAAAAGCTCTTTCTCTTCCTTTAACCAATCGTTCAATAAATTATTGCTAATCACAGTTTTGCAAATTGATGGCAAGTTAACAACACGAAATTGCAATTATCCTATCAATGATTAATTGTGTGCTTAAAGAGTTGAAAGTTTAACCTTAAAGTAAATATTGGATGGCAAAAAAACCAACTTTTCTCTTCTCTTCTTTTTTCCACTCATGATAATCACAGTTGAAAAGTAAACTGTCTGAAACTTCAGGTAGTAATCAACTCAAAGTTTACCAAATTTCGAGTAAAAATGTTGATTCAAAACAAGAAAAAAAAGTTGACTTTAAATTTTCTCTTCTCACAGTCTATCATTTTCATCACTTTATTTGATTCCTTTTTCCCCATTAGTTTTCATTCCAACCTTTTTCAAACTTTCATTCAAAGCTTATTCCATTAAATTTACTTTTGAACTAATTTCAAGTTTGAATATTTTTTCAGGAAAATATCTTTTTGTATGGAATTAGAAACAAATTGATAAAATTAGTGTTTCTTTAAATGATGGATCAACTAGAATTTTATCATCAAAATTCATCTTTTCTCATGTTTTAATGCGAATTTTCATTTTATTTAAAAATAAAAAAAATGAAATTTAATGGATAATTCCTTCTGATCTTGTTTGCTCACAAGTTTTCCGTACTTTAAGAAGCATTACATTGAGCAAAACAATTTGAAAATTTATTCATTTCCAACCAATAATGACATTTTCAATTTAAATTGACGATTTTTTCTCGAGAATCTTTGACTTCCAACTGAGTTTCAATTCATAATCAATATCCATAAGTTGCAAATTCATGAGTGAGAGGAATGAAAGTTGAGAAATTCTTAATTCGATGGAAATTAAAGTGGAAACCTTTTTAATGGAAAACATCAAAATATCAACAGGGAGTGAATTCACTCCCTTGATACTTACCACAATCGAGTTCATCAGAACCATCTTTACAATCGATATCTGAATCACAATGCCACTGAAGGGAAATGCAGCCTCCTTTGTGGCAGCGAAATTCTGATGAGGCACATGGACGGTTCTCTGTTGGTTCATGGGAAGAAGAAGAAAAAAAAAGGAAAAATGAAAAAATTATCAAGTATTGCAAGAAAAGAAATGATGAAATAAAGATGAAAGTCGAGAGAGAAAAGGAAAGGATACAATAAAAAACATTAAATATTAATTTCTTTTGTCTATTATTTTGCAGAGTAAAAAGAGCAAAAATGATTGGTTCAGTAGAATGAAATGAAATATGACTTTGTCTTATCATCCAAAATGCAGTCACTTTAATGTTGTCAACTAACGAAAGCTTCTCTCATCTCATTTCCAGATCATCTTTATGAACCTTATCAACATCATTATCTTCATTTTTTAGCTTTCCTCCGACTGTGGGTGAAGTTGAGCTTCTAATTTTATTGATAACATTAAGAGTTGTTGTTTCAATTTTGGTTCATTTTTTAGGTTTTCTGGCTTTTACTTTTCCTCTTTTTGAGGTCAACAAACATTGAACCATTAAAAGCATTTTATCAACCTTTTATTCCTACAGTTTCATCTTAAATCTTTTGTTTCACATCTTTCCTTTCAGGATAAATGTCATTGAAATTGAATTTGTAATCAACCTAGAGATTTATGAAAAAAATCTTTTCTTTTTTCGAAATTTTTATCGACTTTGAATTGAGATTATTTTCAAAGAAGCTGAAGAATAATTTCGAGATCTTGTTTAAGGTCAATTTTCTTCTAACACTCAATGGAAATGCTCAATTCTTATCCAATCTGTACAATGTCGTGACAATCAGTGATTATCTTGAAATGGCAAATGTTGATGAGATAAACACTTGAGTTTCATGAACAGATTTTTCGATAGTGACCTGTCAGCTAACCTTGCTGTGGACAACAATTTTAACAAGATTATTGGGATTGAATGTCAGTCAACTTCTTGATGAGTTGGATGATTGAAAGAATTATATCGACTCTTGAAGAATGTCTTTGTAAGAAGCGCAAAGAGAGAAGACAAAATACAGGGGAAATTGTGAAGAAAAGAGCAAAAGAGAAAAAAAAATTTCTTTTCTCTTCAAACACTTGGAATAATATGCCAAGAAAAGTGTTACATGAGAGTGAAAAAAAACTCCAAGTGGAAATGTTATTTTTGAGAAGAAGCAACATCACAATGTGATACAATCTTGTCTTTTTTCTCTCAAGACTTGAACATTTTTATTCAACTGATAATGCTGGAATATTGACCTGAATTATTAATATATATTAACTCTTGATTGACACATTTTTTCTCGTCTTTTTTACCCTCTAAACAAATGTTGAGCAGAAATCAAATTTTACTCTAACACAGAATTGCATCTTTTGTTCTGTTGCTCTGTGATTCTTTGGTTTCCATTATTCATGGAGAATCCAATTTCTTTTATTTTTTTATTCTCTTTCCAATTCTCTCTTTAATGTTGACCATATTTTCACTTCATCATGTGTTGGATAATTTAAGGTCAAGTTTACCTGAAGATTTTGCATCGTCAACCATTGTGGCTTCAGGTTGAACCGAACAGGTAACATGATAAAAGCTGTAATAAAATAGATGGTAATATAAATACAATTTGATGTAGAAAATTTGCATTCCAAAAAGTGGAAAATTCGATTTTTTCGTTTTTTCGAATTCGTTGTTGAGAGAAGCAAAAAAATCCCAAATTGCGGTGCAATCACAATTTAAATCCAATTGAGAATCAGGCAAAAAAGTGAAGAAAAAACGAATATTTTTTCAACTAATATTATTCACTCCCAGTCATTCCCAGTCATTCCCTGTATCATTGGCAATGAGTTATCAAGTTGAATTGTTGATTTCCGTTTCAAAGTGAATTGAATATTTTTCTCAACTTTAAATCTAATCAAAAATTGAAATTCCAAAAGCACACAAAATTCACGAAAAACACATGAAACTTGGAAAGGCAACACTCAAGGTTTGACTAAAGTCGTGCTGCACTACTGTCAACTTCAATGCCATTATGTTGAGTAAAAGAGTCGATAAAAGCTGATTAAATGGTCGAATTAGCAAGAGTTCAGAAAAGCGAAAAGACTTTGAAACTTGAATTGAATAATTATGTTGACGTCAACTTTGGGTCATTAATTAAAGATGAATTAAAAAGGTAAATGATGATGTTGCATTATTAAGGTTGAATAAATAAGATGAATAAAATATTGAAACATTAATGCATTCCAATGGGAACGAAGCGTGGGATAAAAATTTTCTGTATTAAACAACGAACAAAAAAGGAAAAGTTGATTTGGAGTAAAAGTTATCAACTGATATCAAACAAGGAGCAAGATAAACATTGGTTGATGATGGCGATTATGGTTAATGATGATAAAGTTTTCAACTGAGCAAACATTTTGAGTTGCAAATTTTTGTTATCAGTATAAAGTTGAGATGAGAGTAAACAAGTTAGGAATGAATTTAATTTGTATTATTTAACTTTTCATGATCCATTCCAAGTGATGATAGTTGAGCGAGTAAATAGAGACACATACAAACAAACAATGGCTTAAAGATGCACTCAGCACAAGACAACAATAGTGAACAAAAGAATCAACAGAAAAAGTGAAAAGCAAACATCACAATAATAAACATAATATGAACATGAGCAGATAGAATGCAGAAGATTGAACAACTTTGAAACTTTCGCTTACCATGAGCATTGATCTTGAAAGGCAAAGACGCTTGTAACGAAATTTTAATCAACTTGAAGAAGAAGAAAAAAGTTAAACGAAAAAATCGAAAAGAAATTTTTCTTTTGACCAGGAAATTGATGCAAAAATTTTGATGCAAAACTCTTGTTTTGTCCCAGCTTCTGTTCAGAACTTATTGAGTGAGAACAAAAAGCTGCGAAATTTCAGTCCAACATTTTGTTCAACTCGGATTTTCCAGATTCTGGTAACATTGATGCTGTTGCCATCTAAAGAGTTTCAAGTAAACTCGACTATCGATTGTTGAAAAAGGTTTTCTTGAAGAGCGCAGATTACCATGGAAATGGTTGAATTTGTTGGCATCAGAAGGCGCTCAGTGAAACTCGCGATTAACCAGATTTTCAGTTTTTCTGGTTTTCTCATCTTCCATTACATTGGAAACCCTTTTCTCTCTTCTCTCTTTCTTGCCATCTTCTCACCATAACCAAGCAGAAACCTATTGCTATCATCACCATTATCATCGTTTGCTTCTGTCTTGAACATTCTTTACTCATGATATTCTTGGCAATATTTGTAAACAAGCAAACTCAAAGACATAAATGAAAATGGTAAACATCAGCTTATAAGAGGTTTCTTCTGATGGATAAATGGATCAAGATTTGTCAACAATCAGTTGTTCTTGATTCACATCGTCTTCTCATCTCACCTTTTCCAATTATTGTCTTGCTTTCAACTTGCCAGCTCATTTCACCTTTACTCTTGTGACTGTCCAACATTTCACTTTCAATCACATTTTCATTCTTGTGTAAACTCGACTTTACAATTTTTTTCATGGTGAAACTCAAGACAACTTATTGATTTTGCTCATTCAATCAACGTTTCCATTCATCTTTTTTTCCCTCTCCTCTGTTCATCATTTCTTGTTTACACAATATTATATCATGTTATTATTGGAAACGTTTAACCAACAGCTCATCATCATCAATGTTGCACTCATTGATTGTCTCATCATTTCACATTAAATGAGATCAACAAATTTATCCAAAGCAAAGAATAGTTGGAAAAATCAAAGCTTCATTTGCTCATCAAGAATCAATCAAAGGACTAAAAAGTGTTTCAATTGGAATGTGCTTTATTCTTCCTCAATCTTTACTTGATTATTCACGACATAATTGTAGTTGATTTGCGTTTCCATTTTCAACATTCATTATCGATTTTTTCATGAAATTCGCTTCAATGTAAATTCCTTTCGACAACTTGTTGCATTTGGAATCACGCTTTTTGTTTAAAAAAAATTTACTTTTGCGTTTGCTGAGGTTCTTCATTAACTCAGTCAAGCTGGAGATGGATAGCTTTAAAGAGGTAAGAGCTTGAAATCGGTGCATTTTAAGGTTGAAAGTGCATTCTATTCATGCATTTGAGCTTTTAGTAATTGAAAGTTGAGACGATTTTGAAAACATTTTCGATTCGATTTTGTCGACATTCATTTGTCTCAATTTCTTTCCTTATTGAATGATTTTTCATGATTTCGATGTTTTTTCATCTCTTCTCTGCATTCAAAGGAATTGACTGTGACCACAGTTGAACCTCGAAACTGGAAAGGAATACTCATTGCACTGCTCGTCATTCTCAGTATATGCACAGTTATAACTGGTGCAATACTATTGCTCAGTCCACGTAAGTTTGATTCCCATTTTTATGCGAGAGAATGTTTTCTTAATGAGATTTGTCTGCTACCCTTTACAACCCCCCTGATAAACTCAACTCAGCACGAACCAGAGAAAGTATATTGCTCATATTCCCATTAATAGCGGAATAGTTATATTCATCAATTTCTTCAACCTTGTTGCATAACCTTTAGCATTTCTCATCATGAGTTATGATTCATAACCTGATCATTTTCAACATTTTAAAGTTCTTATCATTCATCGTGAAAATGATAGATTCTTGTGAGATTTGCATTTGCTTTGTGAAAACTTGTTATTAAATGAAAAGGAAACCAAAATCTTTCAGTTAATATATTCATTCAAATGCAATAAAATTTACGCCCAACATTGCGTTTATATTTGGTGCAGCAATCATGAAAGAAACAGAATATCGAGAAAATGAATGCGTGTAATTTGAAACAAACAGAAAAACATTTGTCAATAGTGGTCAAGATTAAATGCTTTCGAATTAAACAAAATTCAGTTTTCTGGATATGCAGAATGCTGCGTTTAAGAATTCACAATTATTTCTTATTCTAGAGGAGATAAAATGAATCATAAATATTAAAAAACATGTAAATTTTCGGCTGTAAAATGAACTACACTAGATACAGAACAGGTTATCCTGAGTCAATTAATAACTTGAAGTTATTTCATTAGTTGTTCACTCATCAAGTGTCCAAATAATAAGTAATAAAGGTTTGTTCAGTCGATTTTTTAGCCACAAACGTGAGACGAGACCAACGAGGCAAGCCTAGAAACCGTGTTAGACTATGTTTCTAATTATAAACAGACATTCAAATTGAAGCGTATACATCAATCAATTAGAATGAAAATAAAAAATAAATGATTTTCACTTTTCAATTTAATATTTCAAATCAAGATACTAAAATGTTATCCTTCGTTCATGCTTAGCTTACGTGAACAAGAAATTATTTTTCTTAAAAAATAATTCATTCCAATTTAATAACATTCAGCTTCACCATGAGATTGAATCTAGAATGAATATAAAAAATTCTTTGAAATTTTGATTTAATCCAGGTTTCACTCTTTTATAAACACTCAATATCAATTGAAATAATTTTTAAGCAAATATTCTGTGAATATTTTGTTAATAAAAAGGTCTTTATACATGAATAGATATTCGAAGTATTCATGGAGAACAAACTAGATTTTCATCCAAATCTAACAAATGAAGAGAAATAACACATTCAATTGAAATTCGTTTAATAGACTTTCGATTTTCAAAGTTCTTCCAAGCTCACAAATCCAGTATTAAAAAATTGAGAACTGACCAGTCAACCCAAGTCTCGTATTGTACGTATATGAACTAAAGAGCGTAAAGCCAACGCATAAAATGAACACGAAGAATCGTTCGAATTTAAAAGACTCTTATATTCCAATCAAAACAAATTATTACTTTGTTATCAAAGTTAATTATCAAATGATCAGCCAATTATTCAAAACAATCATCACCCAATCCATTTCATTGCCAATCAATTTAATTATTTTATTGATCAACTCACCAACTGATCTTCAATTAGACTGTAAACTTTAGATTGTAAATGGGAAGGCAACTGGTTCACTCCAATGATATTTGATTCTGATCCAGAAAATCAAGTGGTAATGTAAACATAAGTGAATTTATGATCACTAATCAAACCAATAAAGACATTAAGGTTTCATTCATTTGAGGATTTGTCAAGCATTTGAATGGAAAATATTTTCTCGAACTTTTATACTTAAGATTGGTTCAGTATTATTTAGAATATTTTAGAGTCAACTCATCCTGATTTTGACTCGTACTCACATTGGATAACCGAAACAACGAAAATGTTTCATTATCGTTCAAAGGAGTCTTGACAATTTTTCTGTATTGTATTACTTTCACACAAAATTACATGACTGACAATGATTAGATGTTCCTACAATGGCTCTTTTTATGTTCCCAAATAGCCACCAATCTTGTGGAAAAGTTGACTTGCCAGTTTGACCTGAGTTATGATAGTAATAAAGTTGAAGTTTGCCTGATGATACTTGAAACTAGTCTTGAAACGAGGCACAGTTTAGTTCAATTTTTACTTTTACAACTCATGATACAAATTAATGGCAACATTGGTGATGTGAAAGTCTGATAACTGAAAAAATCCATTTTATAAGTTGAGAGTCAAAAAGAAGAGAAATGTGAGAATGAAAAAGTTTACATCAAGAATTGATTGATGATCATTGCATTCTTTTCATAATTTTCCATCTAATCCGTGCAATGATGATTGAGAGAGAGAGAAAGAGATAGAGAGAAAAAAGTTGAGTGAAAATAGCATTAGTCAACAAAAAGAAAAGGGAAGAAAACAGGGAAAAAGAATAAGATAGATGCTCAGATAACAGCAGGGAATGCCTTTTGTACAGGGAATGATGAAAGTAAGGATGATGTGAAGGACGATAAAAAGGAGAAGAAAAAAGTATTAAACATTTCTTTTACGAATGAGTTTTCATTTCTCTTTTGACCATCCAATTGCCGTTACAATTTATCAATTGGCTCTTTAAGCTTTTTATCATAACTTTTCTTTCATTATTATAGCCAATCAACTTGGCCTTTTCCTTCACTCGATCATCGTCTTTTCACCCATTCTTTGTCTTCGTTTTCACCCAACAAGGTTTTCAACATTTTCGTTGTCTCATTCTGTTCTTTTTTCTCTTGAATCTTTTTCTTTTCATTTCATTCAGTCAAGTTAAAGTTGAAAGTATTGAATTCTGGAAATGAAATCTATGTAAGAATAATATGAAAGATGAAAAGAACATGATATGAAAGGTTGACTTTTTTCTTCTTTGCTCAAGAAAAAAAATATCGCCAACAAAGTTTTTTTATAATTGGATAAAATTCGAACCAAAAAATTGACATGAAAAGTATGAAAATGAAATGGAAGCTCAGTTAAGCATTAAATAAGATTAAATTTCGCACAACTTTGACCTCTCAGTTCGGCAACATGTTGATTGAAAAAGTGAACTTTTGCCAACTAAAAAATTCATCATTTGCAGAATGAATGTGATCATTGATTATCGAGGGCAGAAAAGTGACTCTTGAATCGAATCGACAAAATTTCACCTTCTACATTAGTCAATTTAGTAAAAGCAAAATCGTGTAATGATTGTACGGTATGGACTTATGGAGTAAAATTTTTTGTGTTGACCAAATCGGCAAACATATTTGTTATAAATTATTATAATAAAGCAAATCGACGAAAATTCACTTCTCATTGAAGAGACTCTCTTCGTGAATAAATTTGGATAGAGTTTCTTGTTGAGTGAAACTTGAGCCAATCATGGTGCAAAGGCATTATTCGTATTAGATTATTTTGGTGAGAATGTAAATCGTGTTTACTCTTCACTCTTGTTTCTTCCATCAAATGCTAATCTTTTAATGTTAACTTGTTTTCGCTCAGTTTTTCTTGATTTTCCCGATGCATTAACTCATTCTATATATTTTGCCTTATTTCGTAAAAGTATTCTATTGCTTTAGGCTAAACAATCACAACTCAATGCAACTTATTCAATTTTGTTAGTTCAACAAAGTTCAAAATGCTATTGGCTCTATCAGATAACGAATATCAACCCAATTGAATAAAGAATAATCGCTGATTTTTCGTCTAATTATATCTCAAGTCGTTTAGTCATTTGCCTTAAACATTGCCTTTGCTTGTTTGAATCATACAAATTCAATTTACTTTTAACTTGATTTTGATTTAGAAGCTAAAGTTCACTCTGTGAGTGATAAAATTAGAGGCTAATAGTTTGCATCTTAAGCTATATGTAAGAAAACTCATTGATGAGAAACAAGTTGTAAGGGATCTACTCACTATTTGTCTCACTTCATTTTACAGTTTGTCATTAAGTATCAACCCCTTTAGCTTTCCCTCACTTTTACCTTTAGCTCTTTCCTTTTCCTTTAATTTTGATATAAATGGTCAACAGTAAGTAAATTTAATCCATGTGTTATTTGGTATTGTATCAACAATTAAGAAAATTGTTCAGTGTTTTGATGAGCGTTTCTCTCATATTTTTGAGCCTCTAATATTTGTGCCTTTACCTGTGTACCGTTAATAATTGTGCTTAAATTGAATTAAAGTGAATTGTTCTCATCAAAGATCTGAATAAGTAATTTATTGGTAGATTTTATACTGAATCACATCACTTTGTGTTGCTCTACATCTCATCCCCTGATAGAGTACTCACAAAGTCTAAATAAAAATTGAATCCCCATTCTGATTCGATCAGTTAGAAACATTGACTAACATATCTTGTCTCATAACTGAATTGAACGCCCTTGAGCACTCATATCTGTTGGGCAGCTGGGTCATCAACTTTTAACAAACATGCATCAGCGTCTCAGAAAGAGGACTTCAAATGTCAGTCACATTATCGCAGAATATAAACTCAGTTGCAAAATTATAGATACACTTGTTTTTTCATGATAACTTTTTTAATATACATTCTACGACAGATTTAATTTCATATACAGATACAGCACCAAAGAATACATCTAATAACTTTTTCAATTTCGGCCCTTTAGCTATAGTTACGCAACAATGGAGAGAAAACCGATTTAGCTCGGTGCAGAATTATAAATACAAAATTTAATTTCCCCCATTTTTATGTTTATTAATAATTTTTTTGGTAATTTTAAATTCATCAAATATTGTATATTGTGTTAGGAGTCTTATTTATCAATTTCAAGAAAATATGAGCAACCATTAGTCGATTAATCGAGAAATTAGGTCTCCATAGGAAATGCAATAAAAATTACATTATCGTTGATTTAATTGAAGACCACTGATTTTTTTCGAGATTCAATCAAAGAATATTGTTCAGCATCATTTTTTACCCTGAAAACTCTTGATTTTTTCCGAATCGAATAATTAATTATCATTTTACAGCGGACTTCAAATGTCAGTCGCATTATCGCAGAATATAGTATTATTTTTCTGACAACCTTTGGAAAAATTCAAATCATCTTTGATACTATTTTTCATCAAGGCTATTTGACAGTTGCTTTACGCAAACATATTTTGGTGTAAGAATTAAAATTTATAAGAAAATTTTTTATTCTTTATTCTTAAGTGTATTCGTTTAAAATTGGAAAAAATCTCACTGAATAATCTCATGCCTTAGAAGATTATACATCGTTCATTCTCGAGTTGATTTTTTGCACATGAAACCCCTCATTTACTCTCAGCAATATTCTAAGCACTTTTTTCTCTCATTTCTCGATGCAGGTGTTGATGGAAAAAAAGAGCGGCTTCCTCTTGAAGAAGTTTTAGTTGATGGATTCACAACTAGAATACATAATCTAACTTGGATTTCAAGTCGCAAGATAATTTACCGAGATCCTGATGGGAGTTTAATGATATATGATATTGCAACAAAATGGAAAACAATTTTAGCATCAAATGCAAGTTTAGTAAGTGACGAATTAATTGCTTTCAAAGCTACTAATGGTCTTTCAATTAATAGAAAAGATAAAAATCTAATTAGTCTTATAATAGTTTAATTTCAATTTCATCAAGTCAAAAACGTAACTTCTTCGAAATACTCAACGCGTCAGCTCTCAAAATTTAAACCATCGATCTTTCTCCATACGATTATATTAGTCATGTAAAATTTCATTTGCGACAGCAAAAGTTAGCTTAACGTCTCGATCTAAATCAGTTAAAACTTGCAAAGAATTATACACAAAATCTTGAGAGTCATCGCCATCTAACCTTATTTTCTGTATTTTATCCATCTGACAGGGTAAATTAAAAATTGAACGATTTAGCTTATCATCCGATAAAAGATATGTCCTATTGATTCACGATGTAAAAAAGACGACAAGTCATTCCTTCAAAGCTCGATACAAAGTCTACGATACCAAGAACAGTGTAATGTCTTCGCTAACAGCACCAGGTTTGGAAGACGATCATCAAATTGAATACGCTGATTGGGGTCCCACTGGAAGTCAAATGGTAAGATTTTGTTTTTAAGCAAATAATTTCCATCTACCATTCACGTTTCAATTGCAAAATCAGAGCAATTTGTGTTTAAATTATTTTCCTGGTCTTGAGTTTAAACTATTAATATGAGAAAGATGAGTTTACAAATATTTCGACAAGAGTGAAAACAAAGCTCGAAATGTCATTTTTCCAACTGCTCTTTGCTGCTTAATCGTCATGCATTTAGTTTCAAACGTTGAATGATTTGTTTCATTTATTGATCTTATTCTTTTCCTATTCAATTTCATTTCAACTTTAGATATTAAATAGCTGTAAGTCACTTTTTTCAACAAAACTGACAATTGAATTGAAAACAGAAACTCGAGAGTGTTGAACAATTTAGTAAACTATTTTCTTTCACTTTGCATGATTAATGTTTTTCATCGTCAATTTTCATGTTCTGTGAGTTTTGTTGAGGGGAAAAAGGGAACTCAAAGTGAAACAATCAAAACATTTGAATTATACATTTTCTTTTTCTTGGCTTTTCGTTAAATAATAATTTTGGAGTCGAGTTGGTTGACAAAAAGATGGATAAAGTTTTGTCACTTGTAAAGAGTGTGATCAAGTTGAAAGATGAAAGAGTCAGCATCAAAAGCTAAAGCTCAATTTGATTAACATAATTGATGATGCACTTTTATCCCATTCTCGACTCTTTAGCTGTGCAACTCTTGTGAACAATATTTTACCGACACTGAACATTGGAAGGAAACAATCAAGATAAATGTTTCTCCAACTTATGACAAGACTAAATGTTGTTTATTGTTTCACCATTATACCAAGTTATTGCAATCTTGATGAAACGTTTTATGACCAAGGAAATTGCTTGTTCAAACTCTTTCATTTTCACCATTTGATTGTTTCAATATTCTTGATGATTAAAGCTGCATCTCAATTAACGAACAATTTGATTGCAATTAATCATTTATCGAGCAGTTGATCAGTTGTCTGTAGAACAGAAAATTGTATGGAAAATTAAGGTTTTCAAAACTGTGAGGATTAGCAAAGTTCTTAGAGGAAACCTTCTTATCTTTCAATGCATGTTGTCTACTCAATGATAGAATGAGATTTTCTATGCTGACATTAAGCTAGCTTATGTATTTGGTCAATGTATTTAGTTCATTGGACAGAAGCGAATAAAAGTTATTTGTACTTGTAAAGTCACCAAGGAACCAAAGTGATGAAACTAAGAGATGCAATTTAATAAAACTCGAGGTCTTATTTGCAGGTGAATGAAAAGGTGAAGGTAAAAAGAAGGTTTCAGTAAAAGACAAGATTGATAAGGAAAAGCAGGAAAAATTCAGAGGTGAACGAAGAAACAAGATTAAAGGTTTTACTTTATGTTGCTGGAAAAAGAGGAAGCAATCAAATCAAGTTTTCAATTGCTGTTCGAACATTTTTCCACATCAAATTGACTTTTTATCTAAAAACGGCTGATCTGACCGATGATAATAACATCAACAAATGAAACAATTTTCAAGTTTGAAGGTTCTTTTCCAAGTTAGAGTTTATCATGAAAGATTTGAGGACAAAACTAGGCATCTATTAAAATCTATGAATGGAAAGTGGCTTGTAACAAATTTTCAGTCACCACCAAATCTATAGCGAAATCGAGCTTAAAATCGAAACTTACAGTGTATGCTGTCTGCGTTAACAAAACATTTGGCATACAATTTTCATGATTGAAGCCAATTAATCAAACTTTGCCAATTGCTCTGGAATTCGCCAAAACTTTATGTCTAACAATAAACTGAAATCTTGCTAATTCTCTTTCCATATTAGGTATTGATACACAAAAAAGACATAATTTTATTTCCAAAGTTTAGCTCCAAGCCAATTCAAGTAACAAACACAGGGAAAGATGGTAACATTTACAATGGAGTTCCAGATGTTATGTATGAAGGTAAGCAACTTTGATGCAGACGTAAAATTCCTGAATATACGAAAGATATTTTTTCGATTGAACGTGAGTTCGGTTGAAAATGCAAATGCAATGTGGAAATCGATTTGACATTTTTTTCCGTAACATTGTCTGCAGAATTTGTTCTTCGCGATTATAAAGCACTTTGGTGGAATGAAGACGGCACCAAGTTTTGTTTTGCATCGTTTGATAATACGGCAGTTGATCAAATGCCAATCGTTATTTATGGATCTCCATACAATTTAAGTGATGAATTTTCAACTTCGGGTCCACTTTCCTATCCAAAGATAATCAACTATCCATACCCAAAGCCTGGTCGCAACAATCCGATTGTTACACTAAAAATTGCCCTTGTTCGTCCAGCATCTGTTCAAATAAAAAACGTCCACATTCCAAGTCAACTGGAAGCAGCGTAAGTTTTCCCCAAACCCAATCGTAAATCGAAAAGTAAATTTCGTTCCTTTAAAAAAAGCAAATCAATCTATTAGCAATTGTCAATCATGAAACTCACCCATCAGAGGTATTAACTGCTTCAACAAATCGGACAATTTTCGGCTCAAACAATTTTCTCGATCGATGAAACTTTCGAGGGTTGTGCATTCATTATTGCGCAGTTGAAATTCGTTTCCAGTCGAGTTGGTTTAAAGTTATTTCAACTGCAATTCCCAGAAGCTTTTATTCAGATTATTTTATTATGATAGGAAAATGAGCTGATATCGAATTGTCTTGAAATGTTGATTTGTTGCTATTAGTTTCATGAGGCATTTCTTTATCTTCGTCTCAACTGATCAATTGTTCTGTTGAGTTTATCTGATGATAGCAATAAAATCATGATGAGAAGAGAGAAGATAGAAAGACCTAAATAATGAGGAAATTCATTCAAGTAAAATGAATAATTGGAAAAGTTTTAAAGGCAGAAACAAAAGAAGAGAAATGAATGTGAAGTCTCTTGATAGATGAGGATGAATTGGGAAAATATGGTAAGTTTTTCAATCTTTAGTCACTAAGAAGAAATGAAATGAAAGAAAATATTGAAGACAACATTTTCATCTTCAACGATTTTCTTCTTATGCTCAGCAAAAGCACCTTAAGCTTAACCTATTTGATGATAGGGAAACATTTTCTGGTTCCGAAGTAGGCATTCATCATGAGTTACATGGAAATTGATTTTAAATTCATTCTGGTTATAAACTTGTCAACCAGTGTAGATAAGCACATTATTTTCAAAGAATTCATTTTTTCTATTTCTTGTACCGATGAAAGATGAGCATTAATTTTATTTCATATTTTCTGAAATGAGGTTAAAAACATGAAAAATGATGTTTCTAATATTCATAAGTTCAGACTGTCATGATGAAAGGATGGAATAATGGAAATTTACTTTTTTGGTTCAAAATTTTTCAGTTCTAATGACTTTCTCAGATGAAGTGTCAATGATAATTGGCAATTTATACATCATTATTCACAACTAATGTACATAACAAAATTCATTAGAAACTCATTTTCGCTCTTTAATCTATTTCTCAGTAATCTTTAGTAGAAAAAATATTCTTTCGATATTGTTCGATCAGGGAAACCTTCGTACTTGAGTGACTCCTCATGATGAGATGAATGAAAAAAATGTTAAAATTGGCCGAAAAATTCAGACTGCAAAGTCAAGGTTGGAACTTTTTTGCAACTTTTTTTATCGATCCAATTCTGAAATACTTTCACCTTACATTTGATGGATTCTTTGCATAGAAATTTTATTCAGAATTTGAATCGAGCACTAAATCGTTAGTGGAATTTCCCGCCCAACTGTAGATTACGTTCATATTTTTATCCATAACCTTTGAATCAATCAATGTCTATGTTTGTCTCAAACTCCAAACCCAATAATCTGTTTAAAGAATAAATGGATTCCTTTGAAACGCTCAACCAAAATGAGTTGCATTTTGAGATCATAAAAGAGATTGACTTTTTTCAAAGCATTTCATCTTCTCAGGTTGTATCATGAAATAGAAAATCTCTTGATTGGCTTTATCCATCATCATTATATTCATCATCATCCTTATTCCCTCACAAAATGCATACTCAAAGAAAGACAGAATTAGTTTAGTTTTATCGATTGAAATATTATCTTGTTCATCATTAGAATAGAATTTGCTTTTTTTCTTTTCTCAATCCTTTTTTGCTTCACTCGACTTTTTCGACTTTTTTATTCTCATGCAATCCTATTTTTTGCACCTTTTATCACCTCATAGAGAGTATTATATCAAAACGGTTAACTGGATCGGGGCTAATAAGATTGCAGTGGTTTGGCTGAAGCGACCTCAAAACTATTCAGTGGTTACACTCTGTGAAGAGGAAACTGATTGGCACTGCGAAATGGTTTGTATTATTTTTTCTCGAAAACCCAAAATTCCGAACTTTGTTTCGAAAAGTTTAAATTTTTCAGATTAAATTGCCATCAAATTGTATTACTTTCCATGAGAAGATTGTCCTTTTTTCACCAAATAATCGTCTATTTAATTCGTATCTTTACCTCAATGGGAAAAGTAATAAACATGTGATTACTTTTTGAATTGAGGAATAAAGGGATTAGAAGAAGCAATTGATGTGTGATTATATGGTTACTGAACTTCCTTTAATCTTTCCTGATTCTTTCCTTTTCTCAACAACAGTAATGATATCATCATCATAACCATCAACCCAGAACTTGATACCACTTGACTAGATCGTTTCATTAAAGAATAAACTTGAAAGTTCTTAATCTCACCTCTAATACGATTCAGCATTCTCAACAAGCTATTCATTATTCGAGAAAAAAAATCTCCAAAAACTCAACTCAACTTGAAACTAGCAAAGACAATCTTAAAAGTTGAATGTTGAACAAAAAATGAAATGATTTCAAAATGAGTTTTCTTAATTGAATGATTGATCTCTTCCAAGAAACATCATGAAATTAATTTACATCTTTTGCAGCATCAGTAATGAATAACACGAACCGAGTTTTCGATATTTCATCTTGACTCACTTTCGAGTTTGTGAATATCTTAAACGAAGACAAACGATGATGATTTATAACATGAAGATGATAAAAATAGAAAAAAACATTTTCCAAGAATACTTTCAGATAAAGACATTCAGTTCTGCAACTCACTCTTCCATATTAAATGCGAAACTCTTTTTTCCCTTCTTTCCATTTTTTCACTCCAAACAACAATTTTCCGTAATTTTGATTTCCTTCCCAGTTTAATATAAATGATGAGGAAAAAACAAGTTCAAACTAATATCATTTCATTACAGATAATATGATAAATGATAAACAGAGAAAATTGAAATTTTCCTTCATTCTCTTGGCGAGCATTCAATTTTCGTTAGCAATTATTTCAAGTATCATTACAATTGACAAATAATAATTGCAAGCTTATCAAATCACGACGTAATGATATCAAACAGATTGAAAGGTTCGACATGAAATGGGTGAAATTAAGAGATAATCATTTATCCAACTCGAAATGTCATTAATGAAAAGTTGCAAAATGATTATCTTATTACAGTCATGACATCATTTGTAAAATTGTTACAATGCAGTCTTAACATCAAACTATTAACATTTTTTTCTGTCTTCCCTGTTCTTCCATGATAACATTGGCAATGATATTTTTATAGCTATTTTGTGTGTATCTTTGCCAGGAAAGATTCTTGAAGACGAGTCTAAAAAAGGGAATAAAATGGATTATCTTTATAATTTTCTTTCAACTTGGAAACTTTTCTCTTCTCTATTGCACCTTCAACTTTTTTTGGTCACTTGGATTGAGTATAATGCTTCATTGATTACTCTTGAGAATGTATTTATCTCACGTACTATCAACCTTATTCACCTCATTGTTCAATCATTAACTTGAACTTTTCAGTATTCCATGTGTTGCCGTCTTTCCTTCAAATACTTTTTCGAGTTTAACCTCTTTCGAATTTGATTAACACTTAAAATCAGTTTTTACTTTTTCGTTGTTTAGATCAAATGAGATTTCGATCAAAAATTTAAAATCTTAAAAAAATGAAAAATTCGTTCAATAAGAATAGCTTCCAGATATCATGTAACATGATGTTGGTGAATGTCGAAATTTCGACCAATTCTTGAGAAAAAATTCTGAGTTTCAGCCAATATTCCATGTTGCTCATTTCTTTGTAAAGATAAAATCCAATATGAGATTTGATAGCATAAAGGGAATGATGGTTCTAATGGTATTAACATTGCTCTGTTTCCACAAGAGCTTTCAGCATTTCCCGAAACCCAATCTTAATCTGATAAACTAATTCGCAAGTCAACTCAACGTCTTAGAAACATTGAATAAAAGGTTCCATCAACAGGAAAATGTAGTTGAAAACTAAAGATCCAAATCTGTGCCAAAATATTTACATTAATAAACCGAGAAAATGCGAACATTAAGTGAAACAAAACTCGAGGAAAGAATGAAAAATTGGTTAACAAAATGTTTGGAATGGAAAAATCTGTAGACACAGGAAAACTCATAAAACATGATCAATTTCTTGGCCATAAATCTAACATTATTGCTAATAAAAATGTAAACTCACAATAATGAGAAAAGTACAATACAAAATGATGAGGAAAAGCAAACAGCCGATAAACAGAAATACTTGTTAAATCAATAAAAGTATTTTTCATGTTGATGATAATGATAATAACTAGTGTTAGTTTTTTTCCTTCCCTGTTATTCAGTAAACAGGGAATGCAATAGAAGACGAAAATCCCTTGTTTAACCCATTTTGTATCCAATTAATGGAATCGCCATTTCCTTCCTTTTTCTGGGCAAAGAAAAGCTTCTCAAGTCGCAACTGTGCAAAACTTGTTTGCACAGAAACTTTACCTTCTTCTCAACCCAACAATTTGAATGGATAAATATATTTATTTTTTTCTCTCTTTGCTCAATCTTGTGCACATTATTTGCATTTTATCACAGTTGTTGGAGGAACACTTGAACACTCCTCATGGATGGCTTGATATCAAAAGTGGCCCATTATTTTCAAACGATAAAGAATATTATTTCATCATTTTACCTGTTGCTGATGGTTCCTATGGAACCTTTGATCACATTATCATGTTTATTCGTAAAGGTAATAAACGTTATCATTTAACTCATGGACAGTTTGTGGTCACTCAACTGTATACTCATCGATCCGATTTAAGAACCCTGTAAGTAGAAAATATCAGAACAAAACATTTGCTGGAGAAAATGAAAGTTTCACAAAATCTCAAATTACCAAATCTCTCGACAATTTGCAACTCATTTTTTGATTAATTAAACATGTTTCAATCTTGATTCTCGAGTGAAAAGTGCAACGTTTCAGAAAACTTTTTTTCAACATTTTCCTTTTCATTTTTTCTCGCTTGAGAAAATCAAAACTCTAGAGTGGAAAAGGATTTTGAGTGAAATTTAAATGCAAATTAAACTCTTTTACTGCTATTTTAAATGTTAAAGCATCTCAATATTTTTATAATTTATAGTTGAAGAGGTGAATCATTATGGAAAGTTGGTTTAATGAAAGGTTGAGAGAGAAAAGAGTTAACAAAAGGGTCGAATTTTCAAATTGTGAGGTCAATTTCGATGTTACTTCATTTTCTTCTTTTTTTGTGTTACACTAATTCAATTATCGGTCTCATTGGGATAATTTGCTGTTCCCATTCAATTTCGTCTATTCTCAAGTGAACTTGTATCATTTAGTTTTACTCTGAGAAACATTCATTACTATTATCAGGGAATGACCAGGGATTGAGTTGCGCTTCAAGATGATGAACAGCTTTGGTAAAGGTTAAAAGAGATGAAATCGATTACAATTGATGAGATTGTTGAAAGAGGATGAAAAGAGAAGAGCGAAAAATTAAGTTGATATTATTTGGGAATGTTGATGTTTAATTGATGCAGTTGTAGTTGGGAAAAGTTCATTAAATCAGTTTATCATCAAATCAATTTGTATTCATTCAATGTTCCATTGTTTACTCGATAATCAATCCTTTGTAAACTCTTGTTCTTGTGTTGTCTCTTTCAGAGCAAGATTATTTTCATGAGAAACTCGATTTTCTATGCAAATGAATAAAGAGATTGATAATGACTTTTCATGATTCTTCGAATAAATTTCCAATTCAAATGTTTTCTTTCCAACTCTATTGTTTGCTTATTACAGATATTATCAGGCAACAGTTGCCGATAATCCTGCCGTTCGTCACATATTTTCCATTACCGACACTGAACACCCTGAGCCACGGACCATTAAATGTCTCTCTTGTGATCTGAGTCCTTCTTGCACCCACAATTTGGCCAAATTTTCTCCCGATGGAGAGTACTTTATACTTGAGTGCCTTGGACCGGGTATTCCTCGGAGTGAGTTGCGTTACACGGAAACAAATGAGCTTAAAGAAGTTTTAAATACTTTTCCAAGTTTCGAGGAACAGATCAACTCAAGAGCAATGCCAAGAACTAGATACTTTACAGTGGCCATTGATGAAGACATTTTTGGCCGAGTAAGGCTGCTTCTCCCGCCTGGACTTGATGAAGATGATACCGTCAAGTATCCAATCATTGTCAAACTGTAAGTTCATTGCAAAGTAATTTTGAACCAACAAATGAATGTCAACCTTTGATGAATCGAAATGTGTTTAACTTGACTTTCCTAGTCTTTTAGCTTTTGTCCAGTCAAAAAGTAAAATAATTTGCTCTCTAGTTTCTCATGATTCAGCAGAGAGTAATTATACAATATTATGAATAATTTATGAAAGCATTTCTGCAGTTCTTCGCTGAATGTTCACTTCTCATCTATGCGCATAAATGGATTCAGAATTTGATTCGTATGCTCGACAGAATCAATGATTAAGACATTTAATTTTTTAACCATTGTTATGCAGATAAAGATCAGGTGCAGCAAATGTGTTCATGACAAGATGACTCTATTTGAAATTTCACCATTTTTCTGGTGAACCAATTTGGAATTCTAAACAATGTAAAGTGAAAAAGCCCCGTTTTACTGACAATTGACTCAATTTCTTGGCAAACTGATCAATTTGGATTTTGACCAAACTCATTCATTGCTGTACAAAACTGATCAAGTCAATATTTTGGTGCAAGTTTTCATTTCACTTTGAAATTGAAAACTATCGAAATGCTTCTTGAATGTTAAAATGAGTAATGAAACAGAATCACGCAAAGGTAGATCTCAAGTTGAGGGAAAATGAAGACTTTTGAATAATGAGTTTAAAGAGTTAGTTGTTGAAAGAAGAAAAAAAGTGGAGAAAATGAACAAAAATCTTAATTAAATCAAAACATGAGCAACTAAATTAGGTATAATTAGAGATATTATACTCGATATTTTGACTGGAAATTATGTTCGCTCTTTTCACCCTTTTTTGCATTCTCTCAAATGATTGAGCTCTAAATAATTATCATGGAAGCAAGTGAAACAGGCAGGAGAAATGAGAGTAAAAAAGGATGGAAAATTACATGGAACAAAATGAATAGAAAAAAAGGTCAAATAGAACATTGTCAATCTTTAAATAATAAGAGATGTAATAACGTTAATGTAATAATATGATTCCATTGTGAATGAAATATTTTCTGTTCATGCGAAGAGAAGCATTAGCAAGTTAACAGTTTACAGAGTCACGGTTGATTTAGAGATGACATTATTTAAGAATTCATTTCGATTCTTTCTTTTCTCTTGTGATTGATAAAGTTGACATGATTCATTGGAACGTTGAACTTGCTTGTTGGAATATTGATTAACTTATTATTTCCGAGTGAATTAACAATGACTTTGCTCTTCTTTCAATCATAATCAACAGAAACAATGAACCCGAAGATCAAGCTGTTTCACACATAAACCGCATAACCTGGGACCATTACTTAGCCAGTAAAAGGGAATACATTGTTGCCTCTATTGATGTAAGAGGGTCGGGCTTTCAAGGTGATAGTTATAAGCATTCAATTTACCACAACATTGGTGACACTGAGGCTCATGATATAATTGAAGTAATAAAGTGAGTATTTTACCCTTTGGCAGTTTTTGAATAAAAATTATATTCCATGCAAAGCAAATTTTCATGAGCTAATAGATTTGTACAAAGTTCACATTTTCACAGAAGAAACTCTCGAATCGATTTATAGTGAATTTTATTCTTAGAACCAAATGTACATTGGAAGTTTTGTTATTCAGACTTTCGTTTTTATAGAGATTCGTTTCTGATGATGGGATAATGAAGAAATTTTTAGAAGTTAATGTTTAGGATTTTATTGCATTTGGAACGTTTTGAGATCAATTTGTATCAACAGGCATACTTTATTAGGCCATGTCTCTGGAGACTGTAATACAATGCTTTTTTGTGTTTTTTGATTAGATTCTTGAAAAGCCACGTTCCATATGTGGAAGAGGATAAAATTGCCCTTTGGGGATCAGAGATTGGCGGTTACATGGTGGCTTCATTAATGATTAAAGATCCAGCATTCAATTGTGGCATTGCCATTTCACCTGTAACAAGTTGGCGTAATTATGGTAAGATGAACGTCCATCTTGTTTCTTGTCTACGATTTTGCTCGGACTAAAAATTTTTATTTAAATATTTTAAGCTTCATTTTTCATGGAAAAAACTATGGGACTTCCCTGGCCTCAGGATAATTACATCAACTACGACAAGTCTGACTTGTTTAGAAGTGTTTCTGGTTTAAAAGATAAAGCTTTCATGATCATTCATGGGACTGCAGACACCAAAGTCAACATTCAACATTCAATGTTATTAATTAAAGCACTGACTGATCGCGGGATTCCTTTTCGTGTTCAGGTAATAGAATCATATTCTTGTTCATTCGAATTCTATTTTATTTGTTGTTCTGTAAAAAATTTACTCATACCTTTCGTTGTTTCTTACAGCTTTACCCTGACGGTGAACATTCCCTTTATGATGAACAATTTCATTTGTACAAAACAATGGAAGACTTTTTTGCTCGCTGCTTCCAATCTCGGGATGACCAAGATGAAGAGGAAATGGAGTTGCCGATAACAAAAGTGATCAAGGGAGGAAAAAAGATAATAACTGGTGAAGAATGAATTGTTGTCGAATCTTGAATATATTCAATTGGATTACAGTTTTAAATGGAAAAATCGGTTTTCTTCAAACGATTACTTTCCACTAATTTCAAGGCAACGAAGCACGGTGCTGATTTATCGAGACAAACTTGAATTCTTGGATTAAGTTTGAAGAGCAAACGTGATTGAATGATCTGTAGGAAAGAAAAAAATGTCCAAGACTTCTTTCTCAGTCAATTTTCAAATTATTAGACTTGTAATAAATCATCATTTCGTAATAGTATTGGATTTTTCATGTTGCGACATGGCATATTCAGGTACAATCTGGAACATGATTTTCGTATTTTCTCGCTTTGCTTCTCTTCCTTGGTGGTTAGACAAAATATAAACATTTAAAACTTTTCAGTTTCGTAATTAATAATTTATAATTTATTTAAATCAAATCGGTTAATGTTTTAGGAAACAAGATTCATAGTCGTCGAACTAAACTGTCTAAAATGCTTGACGGGTACATTTATAAGAAGACTTGTATTGCAAAATTGTCTATGTTGAACTCAATGTCGAAGTTTATGATGTTGAGTTCAGTTGTAATTACTATGAAAATAACCAATGTGATTGGAAAGAAACAGAAACTCAACAGAGTTATTAATGTTGTCTATTGTTACATCAATTATTATATTTGTATTAACATAAAAAATGAGAAGGTTTCTGAATAAAGCTCCTGAAATAAGTCTCATTTTTTATTCCTTAATCGTGACAATTGAAGAATGGGTTGACGTTTGTGCGTTCCGGAGTTCTATTGAATTAAATCCTCGATTTACGTCAATCTGTATTAGAGAAAGATAAACATTTATTGGTCAGAAAAATCGATAATCTGATTTCAATATTTCCCGTAAGAGGGAACAGTCTCTTCATTTATCAAAGTCTATCAAAGATAGCACGAGAAGGTAAAGAATTGTGAGTAAGATAAGGGCTGACTCTTGATCTCTTGATCTTAAAGAGGAAGCTGAGGAAAAAATTTAAAGCATTATAAAGAGATTTAAATGAAAATCAAGTACGAAGGAATTCAAGTAGTTCATGAGAAACTTAATGTTATGACCTTGTTTGAAAATGTAAAAAGCAGAAGAATTTATTTTGAATTCGTCCGATGGGAAAGGACAGTGACAGGTTCTACCTGTTTTGACGCCAAGGAGGCGGACAGAATTCGCCTAAGAAATAGATTTTTTTCAAACTAATTTTTTTAAATGTAAAATGGCATGAAAAATATCACAGTGTTAACCATTTTTTTATATTCGAAGCCGTTTTCGAGATAATGGCCTTAAAATTTTTTTTCACAAAACAAATCATTTCTGATAGAACTTGACATGCAGATCATGAATATAAAATCGGTTTTTTGATGCGACGTCCAGTTGCTGAATTAATTTGAAAAAAGTGACAAAAAAGTAAAGAGAAAAGCTATTTTATTTCAAAGTACATTCGATATTCGTGAACCACGATCAAAACCCATTTATCCTATGTAGTTTTTGATTCTGTATCTGTTGATGTTAATATGATTTGATTATCATCCTGCTAAATACATTCAAAATGCATTCCAATGTTGTTCTATGGTGAAGTATTGCTGATGGTTTATGGAACACTCGATATTCGTGAACCACGATCAAAACCCATTTATCCTATTTAGTTTTTATTCTGTATCCAGCGATGTTAATATGATTTGATTATCATCCTGCTAAATACATTCAAAATGCATTCCAATGTTGTTCTATGGTGAAGTATTGCTGATGGTTTATGGAACACTCGATATTCGTGAACCACGATCAAAACCCATTTTTTCTATGTAGTTTTTGATTCTGTATCTGTTGATGTTAATATGATTTGATTATTATCCTGCTAAATACATTCAAAATGCATTCCAATGTTGTTCTATGGTGAAGTATTGCTGATGGTTTATGGAACACTCGATATTCGTGAACCACGATCAAAACCCATTTTTTCTATGCAATTTTTGATTCTGTATCTGTTGATGTTAATATGGTTTGATTATTATCCTGCTAAATACATTCAAAATGCATTCCAATGTTGTTCTATGGTGAAGTATTGCTGATGGTTTATGAAACACTCGATATTCGTGAACCACGATCAAAACCCATTTATCCTATTTAGTTTTTATTCTGTATCCAGCAATATTGATATGGTTTGATTATCATCCTGCTAAATACATTCAAAATGCATTCAAAAGATCTTTGTGTTTAATTGATCAAGAATCAAGCCGCAAGACACTCACTATTCTTGTCTTTCGCACATAAGTGCCTCGAGTCATGTGCTTTGATATCTGAAATCAGTTATTTGTAACAATCTAGATATCAGATGTGCGTCTAGGCTTAAATAAGTTTGAAAGATAAATTAATGCAACAAATGTATTAGCAGGATGATAATCAAATCATATTAACATCAACAGATACAGAATCAAAAACTACATAGGATAAATGGGTTTTGATCGTGGTTCACGAATATCGAATGTACTTTGAAATAAAATAGCTTTTCTCTTTACTTTTTTGTCACTTTTTTCAAATTAATTCAGCAACTGGACGTCGCATCAAAAAACCGATTTTATATTCATGATCTGCATGTCAAGTTCTATCAGAAATGATTTGTTTTATGAAAAAAAATTTTAAGGCCATTATCTCGAAAACGGCTTCGAATATAAAAAAATGGTTAACACTGTGATATTTTTCATGCCATTTTACATTTAAAAAATTAGTTTGAAAAAAATCTATTTCCAGGCATTTTTCCCTATTCTTTCTGTCCTCCTCCTTTATTGCTGATCCATAGAGCAATCTTGATTGTACAAGAATTTTTATAACCTCAAAGAATATCGCGTATCTGCAGTCGTAAAATGAATACAATAAAGCGATTTTTTCGAATTAATAAAATGTTTGTTTTAATTAGATAAAGGTTTTTCAAACATTTTGTAATGCATTGAAAAGATGACTTTTTATATTCTGCCAATTTAAGGTGAAAAGCGTATTGTGCGGCGGTTTCAAATTTAGAGTCAAATAAATCGATATTCAGCAATTAAAGAGAATATAATGAGCATTTATATAAATCCAAAGAAAAAATCAAAAGATCATTAATATCCATCTTCGATTGCTGGCATTGAAACATACGCTATTTGTTGTAGATTTATCGAACAAAATAACTCCATCATCACCAGCTTGCTTGAATGTTAAAACCAAGTTTTTGAAGTTCAATTAATTTATCAATGTCTTATGTTTTTAAGCTTGTGATTACGGTCAATGTTTATCTGGAAAAAATCATGTTCATCAAACAAAATATAAATACTGTTGTTCAAAACAGTTTCTCAGTAGACCCTGAAGGTCAATTAGGGGCCAATAATGAATTGACCTTGAATGACCTTGAGCGTTCGAAATCATGTTTCTTCAACCTTCTGAAGGTCATAGTCTGCAGCATTAACCGTTCATGAGGTTTGTGTCTGTAAACAATGAAAATGTAAAATGAAAAAAACGCCGGTACTAAGTAAAAATACTATTGCAATAGTTTTGTAATAAAATTGCGAAAATCACATCATTGATAAAAGTCGCAAATATAGCATGATATTGCATTGTTGTGCATCCGACCTGTATCAATTGAGATATCATCTTTTGTTCGACTGACTTGCAGTTCTAAAACATTGTCGTCGTCTGATTAGTCTAGAACAATGATGGTGAAGCCAACACTGCATTGGTATGTTATTTTATCGCAAAATAAAAGTTTTGAAACTGACGTTGAACTCACATTTCGCATTCGTCTGTGCAAAGAAATTTTCAGTCATCACATCAAATCTCGATCATTAATTTAGTTGAAATGGGGTAAATCAGATGGAGCCATGAATGATTTTCTGTTTGATTGTTACATGAAATTGCATGCGTAATAAATTGCATGGAACAGCATGAGTCTAATACACTAAATCAATCTCAATAATGTTGAAATAGTAAATACAACTAAAGCAAAACAGATAAAGTGTTTTATCAATGAACTTCAGTGCTTATTCAATGGATATTTTGCCATCTCATCTTGAGGTAAGTGAAAAGAGATGTATGAGAGAAAAACTTTTCTACCCTGCCCCGATTCCGTTTTTTTACCGTCCATCTAATACGAACTTTTGCTGTTATTACTTCAAAGTCTTTTATTCATATTGACCCCAAAAACGCTTTGAAAAATAGTCCAATAGTCATTTCTACTCATGAAAATTCAGCACCAAACACTCAGTCTGACTGACTTTTTTCAACAGACAGAAAAAGTTAACTCATTAAGTCTAATCAAACTTTTATTTTGAAAAGCGATCTCAGAAAATGGTTTGATGTGATTGAGAAGAAATATAACCAAAGTTTAACAATTATGAAACCATAATTATTTCTTCTTCTTTTCTTTGCATGATAATTCTGTTTCTCATGCTTGATATGCTGTCAAAAACAGATCCATTGTTTCGCTCCCTTTACATGAATCGCGTTGAAGCAAGTTTTTTACTCTCAACTTTATTGTTCAGTTTGTAAATTGAAAAAAATGTAACAATTAAAATGTTGCACTCTAAACATTTGTTGAACCCAGTAAATCGATAAAATTCAATGCATTCATAAACACCCAATGATAGACCAACTGTTATCCAAACTTTTCCTGTTTCATGGAGAAAAAGAGTCGAAATTCAATTGCTTTTTGCTTTCTGCAAGAAACAAAATTTCAATAATTTCCTTTTCTCATGAATTGTTGCTAGCTACAAAAAAGAAATGCAACTTTTTCCAAGAATTTTTTTCTCTCTCCTATTTCAGTTTCTCTTTTCCTTTGGCCCATTTCATTTTTCAATTTGCATTTTGCAATTAAAAAATTTCCATCTCAATTAACTTCCGTTTTCAATTGTTCTCACAATCAGATTGCAAATTCATCATAAATTCTGATTCAATTACAGAGATAATTGAATTTTCTTGACGCCAATTTTGAAATATCATTAATGTCGAGATGGAAATGGAAATGAAGAAACAGGCAAGAAAAGTGAATTGAATTGAAACTCTAGTCAACCAATGTTCCATCAGTTCCATAAAATCTTAATCACATTTCTGTACATGTGATTAGCTTTATCTTCATCAAACCTCCCACCAAATTCAATAATGACGGTTATAATAATAATGATGATATCAATGAAAATAACAGTTTCATGTCATCAAAATTTTTCTTTTTTTTCTTCTCTCACTGTCATTCACATGTTATCTTGCTTGCCCATGGAAGTTGAACTTTCTCATGTTAACGCTTATGAAACTTGATATTCATTTTTGTCAGTTTTCATCCAATAAATAACTTAATTAATTTTCCCATTTTACTCATTGACTTGAGATGCATTTGTATTAATACAAAAGGGAAAAGTTTCATTTTCATTTTAAATATTGATCAACAGTTGAGTTGAATGGCTAGATATTGATTATTTCAGCAGAAAACATTTCATTGTACAGAATGTCAAAACTTATTCTGATGAAGCTGCAAAAATGCTTCTTTTCAGTTTCAATTCAACATTTCAATTTCTGGTGATTTTCCATTTCTTATTTTCCCTCATTTTATTGTCCTTTTTTGCCTTGTTGCTGCTCATCATTATCATCATATTGAATGCCAATCTCAATCTTTTCTTTTCTTTCTCGTTCTCTTTTCATTTTAAATTCAATTTCGCCATTTCATTCCTCATCATGCTCACCTTTCCACACACCAAATGTCATCGTCAAATGTACCAAGTAAATCGTCAATCAATCCATGCACAACATTTTTTTCTTTTCTTCTCATTTCATTTTCTCTATTCTTCAAACCTCTTTTCTTTCATACACTTTTCTTTACCTCAAACTCGATATTTCCGTTCTTTTCACTTTCTGATACTTTCCAATTTCCACCATATTTATTGAATTCACTCCATGAATCGTAATAATCTTGCCTGTGGTTGCAAGCTCAAGATTCTCAGATAGTTTCTGTTCCAAAATGCTCATCAATGTTACATTCAAAGCAAAACTGATTCATCAAATGTAAATCCTTATTGAAACAAAATGATTACAAATGATGAAATTAAACAACTTTTTCCACAAAATAGACGAATCGAAAAACGTTTGAATATTAGAATCCAGAGTAAATCGATTCTTTGTCCAAAATCGCGACTCGAAAAATCTTTCATGCCCATTGTCATCTTGAAAATAATTATCATCATTGAGTTGCATTCATTTTTCCTGTTCCATGTTTCAGTGCACCAAACAAGATGATACAATTCCTCAAGGTGACAAAAGTAAATGTTTATTTGCTTCTCTACTTTTTTCATGTTAACCTGGACACAAGCAAGAGATGAAAATAAAGTAACAGGATGCAGTGAATGGTGAAAATGGAAAAAAAGAAGAGATAAACAAACATTTACCTTTACCATTCTTACCTGTTTTTTTCCTCATTTTGTGAATGTTTTTTATTCTTGTTTTACTCTTTCTTCTTCTCACCAACTCTAATCATTTTCAATCTTAAATCTGTTTTATGCTTAAATCTTTTCTCTTCATTCTTTGTTCCTAAATCCTTTTCCAACTTATCCTGTGTAAGGCGAACAGAAAAAAGAGAAAGAAAATGAAGCAAAAGAAGACAAAGATGAGGAGCTGATGAGGATGAGCATGAAGAGAATGAGAGAAAAAAAGAGAAGAACAAGTTGAGTAACTCTTTTTTCTGCCCTGATTCAGCTTCACATTTTACCTTGTAACTCTAATTTCCTGTCTACTCTATCTTTAGGTGTTTACTTTATCCTCTTTTAAAGCTTCAATTTTACCTTACGCTTTCCCTCCCTGTGCTTACATTTGTCTTTATCATCTTCATCCTTCTTCTCTTCCACTTAGATCCTCATCAATCTCACCTATTAGTATTGACAGATTTGCTCACCTTCGTACCTAAATTTTTCTTCCTCTTTTCTTCAGTCCCTTCAGATGTCTTCCATTGACAGATACTAAACTGGAACCACTCATAGTACAATCATCATCATTAACAGCAACAAAAAAGATCAACTCTAAAAATATAAAGACAAAAAGCGAAAGGTCAACAGAAAATTTCCTCAAAATTCATTGCCATTCAATGGAACAATCTTGGAGAAGAGTTCAAATGGATTAATGCAATTTGCAAATGTATTTGCAACCAAGGAACAGTGAAAGGTTTTTGTTTTGAAATGCAATTGATTTATGGATTCAAAATGTGATCGTTTGCCACAACATGATTACTTGGAAACAAAATTTTATCCAAAAAATACTTTCATCAAACGAATAGCATTTCATGCAAGTTTCCAATTTTAAAGGATAAATCTTCTTCTTCATTCTCATCTTTTTTCCTTCAAACGTTTATGCATTTTGAAACATTTACTTGTTTCACTTTTGTTTCAATTGTTTTTCCACTCGAAACGATTATCAATATGATTCCCCTGCAAATGGATTAAAACAAGTTGCTTCAAGTGATGCACTTGCACAGTCCAACAACAGCCTCTGTTTTTTCAGTGAAAAAAACAAAATTGCAATTATTCTTGTTGAATGTTTTCCTCTACTCTTTTACCTCATCATTAAAACCTTGCTCTCAAATTTCAACTACTCTATATTATACACTTTGATAACCTGATTCCAGGAGAGGTAAAAGTTTGAGCAGCAAGAAAAAAAACAGGTTTACAAGGTTTTTCCAAAAAGAGAAGGAAAAAAGGTGCAAAAAAGGAAAAAAACGAAAAGAGAAAAAAAAGGTTATGGAGAATTCAAAATTTGACCCTGATCATGCTCCAATGGATTCTAGATGTAGCTTGGTCAATTATCTGGCAAGTGAATCTGAATCAGAATCTGGTGAGAGGACCTACGAAATTTTACTCTTACCTGATCAATCAAAAGCCATTTCATATAACAGACTTGCCTCACCAACATCATCACCTCCACATCATTCAAGCAACTCGGGAAGCTTTACTTTGATGGATGAAGATCATAACAGTAATGGTCAAACTGATAACCTTTCTGCTAATAATAATAGCAACGCTACTAAATACTATGAATGCGATAAGCAATATAATCGAAGAATATCATTAACTGAAAATTTACTCAGTGGCCTTAGTCCAACTAGAAGTAAGTAATCGTAACATAATTATCCATCTTGTTCGACTTTTTCCATTCACTTTTTTTCTTCTTTTCTTGCTTCACTTTTTACCTTTGTATCAACTGATATTTACTCAGATTCCCATTTGATTGGTTAGTTGATTTGTGAAAATCACTAGAGAATTTTACACTTTTTTTTCGTTACTTTTTTTTCTTGTTTGAATTATTCATTAGATGGATGAAGGCGAAGAAACTAAATAATTTAAATGTAAATTTTTTGCATCTCAACGTGCCAATGTTTTGAAAGCCGATCTTAAAGATTGCTGTTAAACTTGCATGTAAATGCGATAATCATATTTACATTGCGTTTGATTATTCAATGCAATTAACTCAATCAATTACAACTTCTCAGTTTATCTGTTTGTTGCCATGATTTAATAATTCATGTTATTCCAATTTGCCAATGTTAAGCCCAATTAGTTGACGTGAAACAAGAGCAAACAAATTGTTCAACAAACAAAATTACAACAAAACAAAATCAATGTGCAAAGGCTCAAAATTTATCATTCCCTGTTTACAGTTTGTTTCATGGAATATTTTGTTTGAAGCAATTCTTTTTTTACCCAAAATTCACTCAATTGTTTCAGATAAAAGCTTGACATTTCAAATTCTATTTTTTGCAATTGAACTAATTTTCCTTTCCATTTCGCCCAGACTCTTGTCATTTACCTTTTTCATTTGTACATGAACTTTATCCTGCAACAGTAAATCATATTGATGTGAAAAGAATGGAAAATTTTTCCAAAACTTTTATTTTCTCAAAGTTCATCATTCAACATTTATGCAAATTTCGTATTAACGTAACAACACTTTTTGCATTGAAATATCAATAGCTGCCATTAGTGGTATTCCTGAGTTTGTTGAAACTTCCATCGTTTTACGTAAAGATAAGAGCAACGAGCTTGGAATACGAATCACTGGAGGTTCAGATACATACTTGGTAAGTACATTATGAATATAAACATTTGATCAACTGTTCAACTATTTTCTTTACTCTGAATGTTTAGAAGGTCAACTATTTTATTGTTGACCTTACAGGGAAGGGAATCTTTATACGTGCTGAACAAGAAAATTGATAAGACATTTAGGAAACTTTTTATTGGACTTTGTTTTTCTATTTACTTTTGTTAATATTTAATGAGCCATTGAAAGCCTTAAATACTAATGAATACTATAATAAGACAAGAGCTAATCATTGATTCATCTCTTAATTTGTTCTCAACTCGCTCCAATTGCAAGTCAAGAGTTTCTCAAGTCATGAATGATTCTAATTTTAGCCTTGACTGGCCAAAAAGAATGTATTCATTTTCCTTTATTTTGCATACATTGCTAGTTTCACAAAAGTAAGATTAAACAGAACATCAAGAGTATTCTGAAATTCATGATGAAAACAGTATTGATTAGCCAGCATGGTCGAAATGAGAACAATTTCTGCCTTTTCTCGAACAAAATAGAAAATTGAAAGTCTTGGTGAAAAGTCAACTTATTCACTAAATTGCTAGCTTAATGTCTTTCAGTTCTCTGGTAAAAAAAAGACTAACCAATTGATGGTTAAATTTCCAGCTTAGGTTCAAATGATTATTTTCACTGTTATTATCGCAGGAGTCTATAGTGGTTTGTGAGGTTGACCCCGATGGAGCAGCCTACAAGGATGGAAGACTCAGAAAGGGTGACCTTATATTGGCAGTTAATGACATATCATTTCGTGAAGTTTCATACAAGGATGCATTGAGAGTCCTCAAGGAAGCCTCGAGTCCACTAAAATTGCTGGTTCTTCGTGAAAACCCGCAAACACTTTTCACGACATCACAAAGTAAGAAGTTAAAGTTGTTTCTCTAGCTGGTAGAATTTCGAAATTCTGAGAAATAATTTGATTTTTGATGAAACTTAAGAAAAAGTTTGAACATAAAATGTGATTTATTTTTTGATTTTATCGACTCTAAATCAGAGCAAATTCAATAATCATTAATAGCAACTTTATGAAATAATAATTCGAAAATGACATTTTGATGAAATGGATAAAAGTTTTTCCAAGAAATCATCGGAATTGGTGCATTTCATGCATATCTTGAAAACATTCAATGAGGAACTAAATCTTGAGAATTTGAAAACTTGGCTTGTTAGAACATGAAAAGTCTAAAGTCAATATTTGAAATTCGTTCAACTAAAATCTTTAGAGACAAAAATAAAATCTTGACACAATTTAATCAACTTTATCGTAGTCGGAGGAATTGGCAAAAAACATGTTTAGAACATTTGATGAACATTTTCAGACTTTTCATTTTACTCCAATTTTCTGTTTATCAACCCTTTTCTTTCCACCTTTTCATCACAACGATAATGACGTAATATTATATTAAATATTTTACCTCAAGTTTTTACACCAATTGTTGGAGAAAAATGAACTTCATTTTTATTGTTGAAAATGGAAAATGAAGCCTCAATTGGAATTTCATTAATTTTTTCAATTTTCAAACCATTCAAACTTATTCCATCAACTTTAATAATCTCTGATATTTACTCATAGAATTTGAAATGAGAGTAGAAATGAAGTGCACAAATGAGAGTCTTGTTGATTAAAAGTCTTTTGATTCACCTTTTATAACAATTCCAACAAGTTGGACAAATAATTAGCAGAAAGCGGGGAATAGCGAATCGGAAATTGAAAAGGTCTTTTTGTTGTGAAGAATTTTCGAATTAAGAATTGATAATATTTTTTTCTTTTTCGCTAAAATTTTCCTTCTATTTTACTTTTACAGGTCCAAGTAAATTTATCACAGTCCAACTGCGAAAGGCAAGCATCAAAGATAAACTTGGTCTGAGTTTTGTTCAACGAACAAATGGACGTGGAGTTTTCATAACTTATGTTGTAAGTTTATCATTATTTTATTTGAGAGAAGGGCAAATATTATCTGATGGAAGAAAATTTTCCAATGGAAAATTGGTGAGAATGAGAAAAACGAAAAGGTGAAAGCAATGAAAAATGCAACAGAATTGCATTATTGAAATGCACTCGATAAAAGTTGAATCATTTATAAAAATTGATGGACAATGGAATAAACTTTTTCTCTTCTCACAATTTACTCTCTTTCCAGTCTTAGAATCCATTTATATCATTATTATTCCTTTTATTCAACAGGAAAATAAATTTTCACTCCCTGTAATGCTCTACATTAATGAAACTGTAATGCATTTATTGACATGCAACAAACCATTATCTTTATTTTTAGATTAGTGTAACCTTAATCGGATAGACTGAGCTTACCATGTTACAGATTACGTGAATGCTTCGAATTTACTCATTTCTTTAATCGCATCGTTATCATAATCATTGCCAATAATGTTACCTGTAAATCCATTTTTACCTTTTCTCTCTCTTTTCCTTTTCTTCTTTATCATCTTCACCATTCGCTCTTATTGCCAATTGTTTTCATCAGCCTTCACTTTTCACCAATAACAATGTTTGATATTTTGTATTTAAGGTTATTAATGATAGCTTTTGGTATTGATAAATTTCTTGATAACTTTCAATAAATCGAGTAACTATGGTGATTACAGTTTATCGAATAGTTTGTCGATCAATTTGTAAGAAATAGCAAAAATTAAAGGATAAAAATGGATCAACATTAAAGTGCAATGAAAATGGTTAAACAAGTTGTCACTTAACGGTCAATATTGATTCAGTGAAGACACGATAGGAAATATTTAGATAAGAAACATTAATTTATCGATTAATTTGCAAGTTTCATTTCAAGAATTTTTCAGTTTCGATGAGCATTTGCAGTCAAAAAGTTTAGTTTCAAAAAAATCTATTTTTAGGCGATTGCCGTCTTCCTCCTTTGTTAAGGCCAAAGCAGAAAGGCACTTGAAGATACAAGCTTACCTTAGCTATCATCGAAATTAGGGAGGGAATAGAATAAGAAAAAGAGGAAAGTTCAAGGTTTATCTGAAGTAAAAGAAAAAAAAGTGAAAGCTGATTCTTCGATATCAATGTTGTTCGAACAACAAATTGACTTAAATAGTGATGAGATGATTAAAGTTTTTACCTTAATCAACATTTTATTCTAATTCGATGACATTTTATCTCTCCAATGCAATCTCAAGCTTTGGAGTTTTAAAGTTTACTTGATTCAATGATTAGGCAAATTGCGTTTGTGGTTGAATTTGAATCTTTGCTTTCGTCGACTTTTGAATTAAGAATGCCTTTTCTTCTTGAAAATTCTGTAAACACTCGAATTATAAAACACAAAAAGCAATAATATCCTTCGTTGAATTGAAAAGACAGTGTTCAACCCTGGCTATTCGAAGCCAAACAAATTTCAATGTCGATCGATAGATAAGTATGGTTTCACAATGAAATTGAGATGTTATTGTTTCCCACTTTTAAATGCTTTTTCAAGCTTGAAGTCCACTCTAAAATAATTTTGTTCAAGTAACCCTAAAGGTTAAAGGAGTTTCAAAACTTCTGTATGAACCTCGAAAGGTCTTCAATTACTGATGGCTAAAAATTTAATTTCGTAATGTAAACTGCAATGTTTCATAACAATTTTGAAATTCAAGACGAAACTTCGTTAACTATATTGAGGAAAATCTATAAATAAACACAATGAAGGATAACCTATTATTCTGGATTTCATGAACTTTTGCCCACAGTTTATCATTTAAACTTAAATTTTGCATAAATAAAATGGTTTATTGAACATTAATAAAAAGAGCAGCTTCACAGGTCAAAGGTCTGTCACGCAATCACGAACTTTTTACTCAACATTTCCATGACTTTTAAAAAGGTTATCAGAATGCAGTTCAACTAGAAATCAAGAAAATTATCCATGAAAAAGGGTTAAATTTTACGCTCATGATTGAACGAGAAATGTTTAAAGTTGAAATCTTTTCATTTGTTATTCCATGCAAAAGTTTTATTCAGAAAATTTGATTGTCTCTTCAACTTGAGTTAATCAACAACCAACAATAATGAAAAGAAGAATCACTCTGTTATTCAGAATAAACGCCCGAATTTTTTATTCTCTTCAGTTAATCAACTAGATTGATCTAATTCATATTGAATATGCAAGGAACAAAAAGAGGAAAATTCATTTCCATTCAACATTATCTTTACCATTCAGCTTAGCATTAGATTAAGCTCATCTCTTTGATGAAATCTGATGAAAGATGTTTTCCTCGAGATAAAACATTTTATTCATCAGAATTTTCTCTCTCTTCTTTCCACCTTGAAAAGCAAGAAGAGAAAGAGAAGAAAGTTACATTTTCTATCGACTCACAATTTTATCATTTTTACCTTTTTCCTTTTTCACTGCGTTCTTCTTTCGACAAGAAAAAAGTTGAATTACTTTTTTTATGCTGTTTACCATTCCACCTCTTTACACCCTTCAATTCAATCATTTATTTATCGCCTTCTATTTGTGTTCTGCCAATTTCATTTCATTTCCTTATGAGGAAAACAGCATAACCATTGACAACATGCATAAAGAAGAGTCAATATAATCTTATCCAGAATTGCATGGAGAAAGAGAAAATTCTCCTTCTCTGATAAAATTCTATTCCATGAAGCACAAACATATTGAGATGAAAGTTATGAAATTTGGGTTTTCTGTTTACTTCAATAATCTTATTTTTTGTTCTTGGACAACAATTGCAACAAAATATCAACTTTATCGATCAAACTTTTCTCATGAATCAACAATGAAATTCGCAAGATAAACCAGGTAAAGTGTCTCACTGTTGAGGTTACAATTAAATTACACTTTGATTGGATCAATTTTCATGACATTTTCACAAGTCAACTCTTTCTCTCTTTTCTTTCTTTGCTATTGATAACTTCAACTGTTGAGAGAAGCCAAGAACAAAAAGTTGATATTCTGTTCAAGTTTATTATACTTAAGATTAACATCAAAGTTATCGATCAGTTTACATTGAAAGTTTTCCAAGCACGCAAAAGTGATTCAGCTAATTTCATTTACATGATTTTCTGAGTCTTTTTTAAACTTTAATCTGTATAGCTTTAAGATTCATCTCTATTATCATTTCTGCTCTTCTCGTTGCTTCACATTTCTTCATCATTATTGTTATCGTTATTATGGTAAAGAAAAAGGGAAAACATTAAATGCGTTAGACTTTAGGTAATGTGAAGCTACAACAGAGACTGGTTTACTTGAGGTTAAAGTCGTAGCAATGAAGTTGCCAGACAATATATAATAATTTAGAGTTTAATGAAAAAAAGTATAAAAAAAGCATTTCCAGTTTTGGCGCAGTTTTAATGGCAAGTCTGTTTCTACTAAACAATAGTACAAAGTACTAATATTTTGAAAAAAATATTGTTTACCTAATCTATTATCATACAGGGGTTAATATTTTCAGTAATGATTAAATTATTCAAACTGCACATTCATCTTTTGTGGTGTAAGAGCATTAGAAGGGTGAATTTTTCGATGTTTTTGAACACTCTTTCTCACAACCCTTATATTGTACATTTCTAAGTTTAAGTTTTTTATCCTTTTTATATAAAAGTGGCTTTAAAAGTAAAAATGAAAAACTATGTTCAATGATAACTAAAGCTCAGGAAGTGCTCCATCTTGATGCTTGATTGTGAAATTTAACGATCTCTATGGTTTAACACTTCTGCAAAATGTTTCAGAGCACAAAGCTTTGTTGAGAAAATCTTGTTACTGTGTGAGTAAATATTCAATAAAGATATCTTTCGCCTAACTACCGGAGCAGTTCGCGCTCTTCAGTGACTTTCCCCACAAAGGAGAGTCACAACTCCTGCTGTCAAAAAGTTATCATGAATACGCCGTATGGTGTTGTATTGAAGGCGAAAAACGTACTTTGTAAACAGCGCGCGCTGTGTTGTTCGCATTGAAAATCACCATTGCGATATTCTTTGCAGATTATAATCTTTTTGCTATCAATTTTCAAATGGTGGTATAAAAAACTCGAATCAAATTGATTCTCAATTGCATGGTTTTTACCATTTGGTATCAATGGTAAAATCTCAGCCCGACATCTTAATTTGCAACTCATTTCTACTGATTATTTTTTCTTTTCTTCATTTTCTTTCTTTCATCTCTTTTGGCAATGATCAAGTTTGAACGAGTACAATATTTTCCGATTCAATAGTTTATTCACCAAGAAATACATTTTCATTTTCAGAAGCAAAAACATTTTCTCCAAGCAATCAATATTCAATATGTATATTCATCAGATAGCATTCATTACTCACTTGCTTTTTTCTATTACTCAATCTTCCTCTTATTTTCCCTGTAGAACCCAAGTGAAAATGTTTTGACCAAATCAACAAAATCCAAGCCATTATGAGCAATAACTAAGGTTGGCACAGAAGAAAAAAACGAATCCTTAATCTAGTTGAATGTCACAGTAAAAGGCAAGATTGAAATGAACTACAAATAAAGTGAAAAATGATGCATAAAAAGAGTTAGCAATTTCACCATGCAACCTAATTACATTGTAACGAAATTAGAAAAAAATGATAATTAAGCAAGTTTGCGTTTGAAGCAAGAAAAGAAATCTCAGAATTGAATGCGCCCATGAAAATGTCAAGCAAATTACCCAAACGATTAAAGAAATGAAGCATTCTAAAAGAACGTGAAAACAATGATTGGAATGAAGGAATAATTTCCATCATTTTCATGGCAATGATAACAATTAGGAAAGGAAGCAGATGGAAGACGAGAATGATATTAAATGCAGAATCGTATTCAGACAAAATCAGTATTGACCTTAGGCTTTGTTAATCATTTGGGCTTTTTGTCTTTACTTCCTCATCATGTGTGGATATTTAAGCTTGTCATATATTCATTTTGTATTAGCAAGCCTTTTACTTCAATTGTACTTCAATATAATATATTTCATGGTTCATCAAGAAGCTCTTTTTTTTCGCTTGTTTTTCCTCTCTTCTCTCGTTATGCAAATATAATTATGAGTTACAATTAGGAAATGATGGGTAAAGACAACAAGAGAAAGGCAAAGGAATGAAATTACAGAAGCATCAGCAGAAAAGAGGAAAAAAAGTTGAAGAAGAATTTTTCTGACATATTTAATAAAGCGCAAAACCAAATTATATTACATTGAGTTTTTGTTTTGCTTTTTTCTCTACTTCCTACAGATGAAAAGAATTGACTCGAAATATTAGTTGAAGAAAATGTTGGAAAATGCAAACTTCTTTTCCTTGCTTTTCAGACAAATTGTTGTCTTTTTGTTCACTCAATTTTCCCTCTTCATCATGTTCACCATTTTTACATCAATAATCAAAGTTTCATCAGTTTTACCATTTACTCGGCATCAAGTGAAATTCAATTTACTGTTTCAAATCATTTCAAACTGTAATCTGGAGCATTTTATTTGGTTTAAGCGGTTTTCATGAATATTGAAACCATAATGGACATTTGAAGAAGTTATTGTGATACAGAATTTGAAATTAAATTGATGGGAAAAGATTCAATTTTACAATAATTGGAAGTGAAGGTTCAGCTTTTGATGGTAATCTGGTCGATATGTTTGGATGAGAAGAAAATAGATTTTGGCCAATTTTTAGTGTTCAATTTTGAAAACCTTTGCAACTTTTTTTTTTGGTTCAACTTTGACCAATTTCATGAGCAATTCTTGAACCTGACAAGTCTTTCAAGTGTAACAACCATTTGACAAGATAATGAGAATGAAAAGGTAAAAGTTGAATCACAAGATTATCAAGAATAATTTTATCCCTTGGATTGGTCAAAATTTTGAAGCAAAGTTGACATGGACTTAAACTTGGAGATGAACAAAAGTAAATGTCAACAGATTTTGTTCAGATAAATGTTCAACTAAACGGTGCAACGATAAATGATTTTTTATCAAGTAAATTGAATTAATCTTGTGATAGCACTTGAAAATAATTAAATTGCTTTCATTATCATTTTCAATGAGTTTCTTTTCATTTCATTTCATTACATTTCATTGTCCTAATTATGGTTTGATTGGAAAATAATATTATTCATGTCAACAAAAATTTTAATTAGCTCAATTGTTTACCATGTTTTCCTTTGTTCCCATTGAATATCTTTTTTTTTGCTGGCAAAGTGTTGAACAAGGATTGTTATAATGAATCGACGTGATCATAAATAGCAACAACAATAATGAATTGAATGATGGAAAAGTGGTAAAAGAAAATAATAAATGTTGAACAGAATATTGTATTTTCAATATTATTTTTCGTTACCTTTGACTAGATAAATAAACAGGGAACAGGGAAGATGAAAGAGAGACAAGAGAATGAAGGAAAATGTCAAAGTTGAAAGGTTTCACGAAAATGTACTCATTGAATGGCAATAAAAAATTAGGTAAATTAATCTGATCAGAAAAGATAAATTGATAAAATACTTCATTGACTTTAACGAGCCTTTCAAGTGGAATGATATTTTAATTTTACTTTGTCAAAGCCCAACTATCCATAGTAGATTAGTGTTATTTTTATTGTGATCAACTTTGCTTTAAGTGGTCATTATACGCTCTTTGAACGATTATTGCTACAAAATTCAAGTTAATGTTGGGATAAAACTCAGGCTGCAGGTTTGCGTCAAGAATTGGAAAAAGAACATTTTCATTATCCTTGAGCTTTACTCATCAGCTGAGTAAAAGTAAAACAATGATGGGGTCATTTGTTTATTTTCATTGCATTTTTTGAATCCTTATCAAGCAAGTCTATTCGAGAAGTTGCAGTATTTTCAGTCAGCTCTAATTATTAGGGACTTCAAAAAGTCAGTGACCTAAAAAGGGCCGACTTATCAAATCTCCCAACACGCATATTAACTCTCTAGTCCATACAATCCAGCCAAGGTTTGATAGTGGACCTGACGAGACTGACTCAAAAAGGCACCGACGAGTGACCCATCTTGACCTTCAAACACTTTGCTACGAAGGCTTGACAAACATTACTTTGTTTAAAGAACTGGACCAGAGTGTTTCAACCACATACATGAAAAAGGGTTCAAAACTCCTCAGACAGAAAAGCAAAAAGAAGTTGGCATTTTTCAAAATTTTCATTTTTTTATTTCAAACATTTCGAATCAAATCTTTTCATCAGTCTAAAGCGAAGGAGAAGTGCCCTCCAAATCGAAGCTGAGGAAGCTAGCTTGGTATAGATTTTTAGATACTTAATGAAATACTGAAAATTGAGCGTAAAATGTCGATTTCGAGCTCTTTTGTAGGTACCATTGAAGGTGTTCATGTTTCTCCAGGGAATTTTCATGAGGAATACCAAAATATTGAAGATTAAATCGATTAAACTTTTTGAATGATATTGTGGTCACTGTGTTCTAAAATAGATCGATGCTTTTCTCTTGCATTTAGATAGTGTTATTAGAATAATTAATATCTTGGAGTTAATGTGAAACTTTGAGTTATGTATCATAAGTATCATGAAATGTGTTAATTATGTAGATTTGCACATTTATTCATAATTACACTTTACTGTCAATCGACTTATTCCATCAGAAGGAAAGCAACTTTCACATTTTAATCGTTGACAATCATTAACTTTAAACTTCTTACAAGCATCATTGACGAGTTAAACCTTTTCGCCCATTTACTCAAGCTCAATAATTTAATAGTTTCGGATTGCAATCTATTTATGAAGTGAAAGTTTATCTATTAAAATATTATAATAGCTTTGTTAATATTTATTTTTCAACATTTACATTACTTTCACTTGTTTGCCATCTTAATTTGAATTTCCCTGAGAATAAGAAATTCATCATTCAAAACAAGTTATTTTCACGGTTCACTTGAACCCATCTCTGTACACATGTAAATGTTGATAAAAAGATTCACCAGAAACTATACCTTTCCAGATAAGTCAACGAATTGATTCAATTTTTCTGTGTTTCAATATAAAGTTTCAGTAAATTTCAATAAATGCATATTAAGTTTTCACAGTTTTTCAACTTGCAATGTTTTCATTTTGTTGTTTAAACATTTAGCCCTTCAAGTCAACTTGCCAGTTGAACACTTCTGGATTTATAATTCAATTATAATTCATGAAAACTGTTGCCCATAGACGAAAAGAATTTAATTAATTTCATCTTTACTCAACAATAGAGTTGACTCATTAAAAGAAATAGTTTCGAAGAAAAATCTCAACTTCTTTTTTGCTTTTCAATCTTAAATAGTTGGAATGTAAACAGATGAATGCTCCAATTAGATGGAGATTAATGTGCATTGATGTTGATTAATGAGCCGAAACTTTGAATACTCAAAGCTTCTCAAATTGTTAACAAGCTCAACAAAGGGAATCGAGAAAATAGAATGAACTATTTTTTATAAAAAAAAAGATTCAGTTGAAAAAATTTCAGCTCAAGACCTTTGAATGATTTCATGAAAAGATAATCAAACCAATATTGTCAGTGAAAAAGTTTACAATGCTAATGATTTTTGCTCCATTAATTGTGAACAAGAATAAATTTTGGATTAAATCGACTTTTATCGACATTTCCTGCGCTACATTGAGTTGTGAAGTCTTGAAATTTAATAAACTTTTTCATTTTTCACCAAATTTTTTATCATATTTTGGTTTAGTAAAGTTTCACTTTGAAAAGATTCCACTCAATTAGCTCGGTCAGGTTTCTTTTAACCTTTTTTTTCTCATTAAATTGCGATTTTTTTTCATCTCGAGATTATTTTGTTCTAAAATTGTTGGCTCAAAGTATTAATTTACTCGTTTCAGTCTAACAATGAAATTCAATCTCAACATTTCTTGACTCACAATTGAACCATCAAAACAAACAATTTATCCCATTCAGTTCGTTTAACCTTTTGGGATTCAAAATTTAACAACCAAAGTATTAACCTGATGTAGCAATTAAATTCAAGACATGAAAATAGTTTTCCAGTTTACCGCATTTCAAGCTGTGCAAGTTCCTGTAAAAGCAAAAGTCTTGGAACTAAGGGATTGAGAACTACAATGTTACAAAATTTCTTAAAATTTTCAAGTTTTGTGTCAACAAAAGTTGTAATAATCAGACAAATGTCAATATATTGCACAAATAGCAGTTGATATCAAGATAAAGTTGTTCATTCCCTTAAAGCAAGTGCAATTATTTAGTTTACTTTAGTCTTATGATGTTGTCACACGAATGAACCAAGGACGCAATCGAAAGCGGGAATCCAATGCTAAGCAATACATACACATGCATTTTTAATGATCATAAACTTTCATTCTGTTGGTTGCCTTGTAAAAGTTGTCTAAATCTCTCAAGAGGTTCTTAGAAAACAGTGAAATGATAAAAGGTAAAGGTTCATTCTTGTAATATTATTAATAAAGAGAATATTTATGAATGGTAAAATCTTTTTTTCACATTCAATTCTCTGTAGAGATATTTACATGAGAGAAGGTAAAAAGAAAATGAATGCTGATTTATCATTAGAGCAATAATAATGTTTGATTAATTTTCTTTGTCGTCTTGTAGCAACATCGAATTTACTCTTTACTCTTTTTTATATTTCCAACAGCAACCTGGGAGTATAGCAGCTCGACAGGGACGTAAAATAATGCAAGGAGACCAAATATTGGAAATTAATGGACAAAACGTTCGTGATAGTAATCAAAAGGATGTCGCTCAAATGGTCAACAATTTGGATGGTGAAATTGTCTTGCTTTTTGGCCGTAATCAATCTTTATCCAATGCCATTCAAGAATGGTGTCGAAAAAAGTCACAAATCCATTGGCGAACAAGAACTTCAACCTGGTCTGCTTATGGAGGTAACAAGGATAAAGTTCAAAATCAAAGGCCGAGTTTGCCTGCAGCCAAAGATCAACCCTACTTTTTGGCCAAATATTCACCTGACAAGGAAACAGTTACCACTGGGTTCACCTTTGGCTATATGCCTGGTACATCGAATGGGATTGAAAATGAAGATCCCAATATGGTTAGTCGTTCATCGAGTATACGAAGTCGAACACGATTGTCGATTGTTGTCGAGGATACTAAAGCTCGCCTTCATCAAGATTCAATTGATAGTTTGGACGATTGTCAAATAATGGGAAACAATCCTTTATTACCTTCTATCCAGGTTACAGAATTTTGAATTCTACTGAAAGGGTTTTGTGCTGACATCTATGAAAGGATAGTCACATTATCAATGATACATTCAATGGAACCAAATTTCGCTTCTTCTATTGTAGATTGATCAAGGATATCTGATTTAAAATTCTTAAAAGTCGAGGGAGAATTGCAATAATGTTAATATAAATATTCGTTGACAGTCCATGTATTTTTGTAAATCTTGAAGCACTTTCGACTGAGCAATAAATCGTTGAAAACAAGAAGCAAACTCATTCTTTGTTTTGAAAAATGAAATATGAATACAAGATTATGTTGAAAAATCTGAATTTCGAGTTAAGATTGGGACTTTGTGGGTTTTAAAGGCATGAGTAATGAGTCCTTTAGTGCCATTAAAAAATTCTTCAATCGAAAATTTAGAGGAAATCGAGGCTGAAGTCGAAACTTCGATCGTCTGTTGAATAAATGAAACAGATTTTTTCATGAAATCATTCTACTTATGTAGCTTTTAATGGACAACCAGGAAATGCACTTTCTTTGCAAAATAAAATTGGGTATTTTGTACAAAAGATATTGATACATGTATGAGTAGTATAAGAAAGGACGGACCTGGTGCATTTGATCTATTCATAGATTCCTTCCATCCAACAAATAGCTGGACACTTATTATAGTCAAAATTTTTATCAGATCTATTAAACTTAAAAAGAAGCATCATTTACATTAAGAATAAAGCCAAACTTAATAAGATTAAATTTTTGACTTTTTACTGGCAACATATGATCAGAAGAAGAAAGACAATTTGATTTGGCACGAGAGTTTGACAGCAAACTAACTTGACCAACTTTGAACTTTGAAACAAAGTTTGGAAATTAATTGTGAGTAAACATTCACTTTTAGAATTGAACTATTTATAAACATTTAAACGTTAGTTCTAACTCACATTGGAACTAATTTAGAAACCCAATAATAAAATTTAAGCAAATTTAGCCTGAGTATAGGTGAGTAAAGTAGAACAATCAGCATAGCTTCTTTAATTTCTTACCTATTTCACAACAGTTCATCATTTAAATTAAAACACAATAGTAAATAGTAATAAATTAATTAATCCTTTAAATGACGAACGTTTGCATTATTTCACTGATTCGAAAACCAACATAATTAATGAAATTTAAGCAAAAATCAGATTATTTAGTATATAAGCTTATTAGCTTCCTAAGTGGCCGCCTTCAACTGTTTGGACCGATAACGGTCTTTCCGTACCTCAATTAGATAGGGAAAAACTAGGGTATTACAATAATATAGTTGAATAAAATTGGTAGAAACATTCTTTTCATTAAATGAAGGGCTGTTAACACAGCATGACTAGCTATTATTACAGCCAAGAGATGCTAATGTTTAACTATCAGGAGAGAATCCAGCAACTGAAGGACGAAATACAAGAAAAAGAAAAGTTCATAGAATACATAGATTCAAAATATGAAAGATACTTGGTAATTCCAAAAGAGGAATTCCAAGCCAGGTATTTACACAATGGGCAGAAGGTCGGACAAGAGAATTAGAAGAGCAAGCTCATGATGGAATCTTTAATGCAATTACTATTCAATTTGTAGAATTTCATTATCATTCAATTCTTGTAAGATTTCATCAACCACTCAGTTGATTGCATTAAAAAAGTTTAATTATCAAAAAAGCCCATCGTCAGACGGTATCAATTTGTCCCAGTACGGAGGAGTAGGGTCAAGAATCGGACTTTTACTAACTACTCACAATCGATACTAGTTATAGCAAAAAGAGCAAAAAAAATTTACTACGATGCAGATCATAGTGTAAAAGATATTTAATAATAAAGAATCTTTACTAATATTTACAAAACTTATTTCCTCAATACAAACAATTTTCATCAATTGACATAAAATTTGACACTTTTTTAACCCTGATTTGTGAGTCATTCAACTATAAATGAGCATGGTTTATATTTTATCTTCATATTGAGTAAAAAGAGATGAAGGCCGAATCATTTGTTTCTTTTTAATACTGGCATATTGAGCCTTGAGGTGAGAGTCATCATGAAGAGTGTTTAAATGCGAATCACAAATGTCTGATAGGCAAGGAGTAGAGAGTCGCTGCGATCCACAGAACTGCACAAAAGGTTCACTATAGTCATGATTTGATCCAGAATGTCCATTGTTGGAAGTTGCTGTATTCATATTAAGACAATCATTGACATTGTTGACCCCACCGAGACTCTTCATTTTGATTGGGATCGACGTTTGCCCAGAATTTATGAGTGGCGCTTTACGATTAGGTGATGAATAATATGAAATGGAGCCTGATTGATTTGGCTCATCGACTGATTTAAATTTAGTTATAGAAGAATAATTGCTCATTGGAACACCTTCAACGCTATTTAAATCACCACAAGATTTATTGAAGCCACCCGCAGAAGCACAGCTAATCCTATCGAAATTGGACTGTTCCATAATGGTTGTATTGCCGTCGAAAAAGTTTTGATGTCTTAAACAAAATAATATTATTGACAGTAAAGTGAGCAACATGAAAATTGATATGATGACGGGTAACAAGATAGTTACGTATTGTTTGAAAATTACAGTGGATGAGGTTGAGGCTTGGGAAAGAACATCATTCTTGATTGGACCTCCAGATGAATTCGGCGAGCTTGTGCTATAATTGAGAGTGGAAAAGGTATATTCAGCTTCAGTTGTTCCAGCATCAGATGAGGCCGATATGGAGAGGTTGTACTGTTTACCAGGGAATAGACTGTTTAGTGTGACAACTTTGGTTCCAAGTGGAGTCGATTTATTCAAATAGATCCATTGCTTATTGGCCAATGCTTTGTATTTAATGATAAACTTCGTAATTGGACAACCAGAGTCGAGCCATTTACCTATGGAATCAATGATAAAAAAAGATTTTGTTTTTAAAACTATTTCAAATAATCGGATCAATAGCGAGCTCAACTCAAAAATAATTGCTTAAAACAACTTTACCTAAATTTATCTGTACCCATATCGAGTTGATCAGAGTGAAATGTCTGATTGAAGTTGGTGAAACTGGAGCTCCACCTTTGGTTCTAACTGTTATTGTCTTTGACGGTTCACCAATGCCGAGGCTGTTTTTGGCTATTAAATAAATGGCATACTTGGTGCCACATTTACAACCTGTAATTGTATATTCACTAACTGTAAGTTGTTTAATCTCTTTTTTCATGTAATCATGACTATTTTCAGGTTTATAATAAAGAACGAAATCACGTTTCATTGGGTCAACGTTAATATCATCCATTGTCCAACCAATTGTTATCGAATCAAAAGTTGAGCTTAGAAACTTCAAGTATGGCGTAGTGGGCGGCGAATTTTGAAGAGTAGTCATTCGCACTTCATCTGAACGTGGACCCGTTCCAACTGAATTGTATGCCTGAACAATCACCTCATAAGTAGTTCGTCTTTTGAGATTAGTGATGTAAGTACTCAACTCTGAAGAGTCGCTGTTTACATCAGTATCGGTACTTCTTCCTACTTTTCCATCAATCCCGTTGTTGGACACAATTTCACCATCAATCTCAACATTCTTGTAGTTGTATGAATCCGATGTATCGACAATCCGGTAGCCAATGTAATAGCCCTTTATCCTCCCGAAGAGAAGCTCCTTCTTGGGTGGAAACCACTTAACCTTAAGTGACTGGGCTCCAGACGCTTCGAGCTGAACATTACGTGGAGGTCCGCCTGGAACCTCTTCACCAGTCTTGAAGCCAGCAACTGGACTAGGCTCACTCACACCCATGGCATTGACTGCTCTGACTCTAACTTTATACAGGGTTACCGGAGTCAGGCCAGTCAAGAGTAGTTCAACATCTGGTTTGATTGTTTTCACTTCGATCCAATCCTTTTCCGATCCATCAACTTTATATTCAACAATATAATTCAATATTGGGCTGTTTCCACTGAATGATCCTTTCCAACGAACTAAAGCACTTCGACTCGTTTCATCCGAAACGGATAAAATCATTGGCATCTCTGGTTTTTCTGTGCAAAAATAGATCAAAGAGAAAAAATTAAAAGAATTATTTCAAAAAGAAAATTCAAAAAACTTCAAAAAACTGTCAACAGAAGGAGCACCATATCAAGTAAAGTAACTGTTCAAACTGATCATACTCAATAGAGATCTTTTCATGAACCATTTCACCGGCAATCAATAAACTTGCCCAAATGCCAGGCTAACCTTCACTTATTCCGGTTACAATTTCATTTCCCTTGTAACTGAGCCACTGAGTTCTCACCACCCAAGTATAACATCTCAATCAGTCTGAACTCAAGTCAGTACATGATATCAACCCAACCATCTGAAGATATTTTCACTCTCTTAATTGTTCGCATTCAATCAAAACATTTCATTGAATCAAGTAATATTTACCCATAACTATTAGCTGGATATTTGTATCATCAGTTCCAAGGCTGTTTGTTGCTTGACACGTAAACAAGGCTGAATCTTGTCGAGTTGTGGGATGAATTTCCATCAACGATAAAACACCTTCCCTGGATTCAACCGTTTTCTCAATCAAAGTGAAACGCTTTTCCAAATTGAAGTTGATTGGTTGCTTATCCTTTTGCCAAACAATAGTCATTGGCAAGTCACCGGAAGCTTCACATTTTAGTATAGTTTTGTCATCCTTTTTACTGGCCGTGCTGATGAATTTAGTTTCAAAATGAGGAGGCACTGAATCAGAAAGGTGGAAAGAAAGATGAAAAAGAAAAGAGAAAATCAGAAATGCAGTTTGAATACTTGAACCTTTATCAATTATGACAATTATTGCAAGTTGAATTGAATAATAATGAAGAGAAAAATTTCCTCACATTTCAACTGAAATGAAAAACAATAGAATGAAATTTATTTCCTTTTCAAACCTTTCTAATCGTAAAAACTGATCTAAACGATGAAATGGTGGAATAAACCTTTCAAAAGATGAAAATGAATTTTTCATGTTTATCCTTTACAATGAGACAAAAAAAATATTCAAATGTGTACCTTTTCTGAAATGAAAGTTCAAAATATTCTAATCCAATGTATGAAATCAACAAGCAAATAATGGCATTTCACCTAATCTGCATCTGATGTGTTGATCCAAAGATGAGCGAAAGCTCAATTTACTCATGGATAATAGCTTCATGGTCTTTCATTGTACAAGATGAAGAGAATTATCGTTCATCGAAATTTAATTTGTTTTCTTTTATTCGTTTTCCTCAAATTCCACCGAAAATATAATCTCAAAAGTTCATCCAATAGTAACAGAAGGAAAAACTAATTTCACGGAATTTTCGAATCTTAAATAAAACCTTTTCTTACCAAATTTTTGTACCAAAATTATACCGCTTAACCAACTTACAAATTTCACTTTTTTGTAAGTTCAAAGGAATTTCAAAAACGAAAATAAAGAGAAGTCGAGAGTTTTTTCAGAAATATCGAAACTCGAAAAAATTGAACTTTTTTTACAACATTCACTTGTACTTCTGAAGGACTTTTGAAACCCTTTTATTGCTCAAGTTTTGAAAATTATAAAAACTCAATAAATCTTGTTTATCGTCGAGTTTCAAGAAATTTTTAAAGCTCAATAAAAGTTTATATCACTTTGAAGCTTCATTTAATTTGTAATAAAGTTTCGAAAAATTTGAAACAAAAATGTTCGGATGATTAATTTGGCCAAAGCAAATGATTCCTCGAAATACTTACTCAGTACTTTGAGTTTGACAACTTTACTGAGACCAGCGCCAATGTCGTTGTTTACCTGGCACATGTAGAAACCAGCGTCAAACTTGTCAACCTCTTGGATAACCAGAGTACCATTGGAGTAAACGTGATGACGATAAGACGAGAAAATGTCTTTAAAATCAAATGGATGAGATTCACTAATTGAGGTGACAATTGTCTTCCTATTACCATTACTTTTATCATGACCATTATCACTATTGTTATTACTATTGGTATCACCATTATTCACCTTGCCATCATTACCATTGTGCAAAGTATCGTTGCCAGTTTTTTTGTCCACAACATGATAATTATTGGAATTAGAAATATTATAAATAGTTTTAACATTATTATTATTGCTATATTGATGATAATGATTGTAATGATGAATCAAATCTGTACTGCCAATGGTATTGTTATTATTGGCAGCATTTTGTCTATTAGTGTTCCCATTGATTGAAATGGAAATGGATCTTTTCCAACTAATTCGAGGAGGAGGAAACCCATGGGAGGAACAATTGATGATTAGTCGATGACCAGAGACAACGGTTGTCTCATTGGATGGTTCAATAATCCATTTTGGAGGTACATTTACAATTAGCGAGGTTGTCCGGGTTGATGAATCAATTGAATTACTCGCTAAACAGGTATAATTACCTCTATCCTCAAAGGTAATCTTTTTGAATGTCAACAATGAATAATCATCTGAACTTTGTAAAAGTATGTTTGACAAGGGTCTCAAGGGTTGACCACTCTTTAACCATCTTATCTCGACCGGTTGATCACCTTCGATTATAGAGCAAACAAGTTTAACCCGAATACCCTCATTGGCGTAAATGGTTCCAGGTAAGGGTTGACTGTCTATAAGAGGAGCCACTTTGATAGTTAAATGGATTTTCCCTTTAACAATTTTGTTGTCATTTCCTTTGGTAAGACAAGTGTATTCACCTGCAAGACAAAATGCAAAAATTAAGCATCTTTAAGCACAAAACAATGGAAAACTGGAAAAGACAGAAAAGCAACATTTCTCAATATTCAACATGCAATATACATGAAAAGAGAAAAATCATTTCGAATAAAATATAATTCAGAAAAAAATGAGCCCAATAAATGATTTCACACACAATAACGTTTAACAATGAAAAAGTTTCCTAAAAATATTTATTATAAAATGTCAGTGAGAAGAATAGAAAAGCTTGAAATTTTTCAACTAAGGATTTTTCGATGCATTTGATGCTGTTATTTGACAATCCAGTTCCATCATCTAAATCAAAATTATGATTATCAGAAATATCTATCTAAGATTCGAGGCCGATAGGATCAGGTAATCTTCACTGGATGAACAGTGTTGTCGTCGTTGACTGACCCTGACCCGTCCATGCATGAGTTGCCTTCACGTGGCATGTGTTGTTGCCACTAAAACCCTTAAGAGTTACCGAAGTTATCGAATCATTGAAAGGCTAATTCTTTTGCAAACGCTAACACTTGATCATCTCATTCCATGCCTAGAATGCCCATCAAAAAGTAAATTAAAAACCACTTGAATATCGATCTAAACAAACCTCTAATATACAGTAGTATGAAATGATATACTGTTTCGTCTTGCCTAACCAACTGTGATTATTGCTCCATGAATAAACCTATCACTTAACGGAAACTATTTGAAAATTTAGTGTTCCTTGTATCCTTATTAAATTCATGAATATAACTTGATAATCTCACAATAATATTCTCAGTGAAAATAAGCTTTTCCTTTTGCATGCAAAATGAATTTACATGATAATTTCGATTTATATTTGCTTTTTACCCTTTTCAATTTTCAATATTATCCGAGAATAAACTTTTCTTCAACATGCCCAGATTCTGTACATTAAATGATAATCTTAACTTTAGGGAAACCCAAAAGTTTTGTTTCATCTATCATTATCATTTTTATTATTGCTATTATTCATCAAGGGAAAATGTTTTTAACTAAATATCAAATTCTTTCACATGTTATCTGAATCTTTGAGCCTTTATGAAACGAAATTTGATCATATATGAATCTGAAAATTTCCTTGCTCTTCCCTTGTAGCTTTTTGCTTTTATCTCAATCCGACAATTCAATTTTCTCGAGAGAACCTCGCTTCAACCAAAATAAACATGGAACAAGAGAAAATGAGGAAAAAAGAAAAAAGAAAGAACGAATTGAGAGAAAAGAAAAGCTCAAAAACTGTATAAAATATTATAAACCAAAAAAGTTACATAAAAGCAAATTTGGCCATAATAATGTTGCTCCTATAAAATAATACATTCATGCAAAGTATTAGCATTTAGCTTGTAACATTTTGAATTGAGTATTAATACAAAGATAAAGGTTAAAGTGTTATGCAAGGAAAAGAGAAAAAATATATTTCGACATTCAGGTTAGATTTTGCGTCATGAATTTGTACTCAAATCGACCTTGCCAAGTTCGTCAACTGAAGATTCTCAGCTTAAAAGTTGACATCTTTAAAATTCGATGTTTGAAAATTCGGTAAAAGGTTCAACTATGAAAAAAATGGTTGAGTTTACTTCTAGATTTGCACTCAATTGCATAAGACTCATTCTGTGTATTCATCTTGGATATTCATGCACATTTGTGCAACGAGTTTCGATAAGTTTTTCGTCTCTTAACATCTAACTTGAATCTAAAGAAACAATTAATTTTAGTTGGTAAAACAGGCTGCTTGGTGTTTACCAAAATTTCAATTATCTTTTTAATTTCTTGAGAACCTTTATAACATCTTTGCAACACTTTGCATCTATTCTGCTGTTGAAAACGATTCTTCATTTTATTTTGTTTCTTTCACTCTCCAGAAGTAAAAGATTAAACAAAAGTTGAATCGTTTTAAGAAAGTTGAATCAAGAAGTGGGATAAATTTTGTTATGATTTGCCAACTTAATGAGTTTGAATATCTTTTTGGATTGAAAATTTCCTTTACTCATTTAAATCCCAATTGTGCCAACAATTTATAATTTAACGACAAAAATGATAATTTATTTTATGGTCATTTTAATGTTTTAATTTTCTCTTTACCATTCTCGTAAATTGCCAGCTTTTGAATTAATTAACAATTCAAATGTTAATGGGAACAAAATTAACTCTCATTAGTGTAATCTTTTGCTAATTTGAAGCTTAAATGCGGTTTAAATTATCCCTTCAGCTTTCACCCATAATTGAATGAAACTTGCTATAAATTCAAGTTTCTTCAAGTCTGAGCAGAAACTGGCGAGCCAATGATCCAAATGTATCGATCATGAAGAGAAAACTAGAAATTTCAACATTCTCTCACTACACCAAAGAGATTGCTAATTAGTCTAATGTGACATTTCATTTATACGAATCTCGGTGCTTTTCAGTTGCAACGAAATTTTCGTTTTTTCCATTTTCTGTGAAACGAAGCTTTTGCAAAAAAGAATCGTCTTTTGTTTTATTTTTATAGCTCTTTACAGAAACGCATGAAATCAATTAATTATTAAATTAATTGCAACACTTGTATCTAGTTAATGATTGATGACAGAAATTTAGCCTCTGAGTTTGAAGGAAAAGGCGAAAAGGTTGAAAGATTCTCTCTTCTTCTTCCCTGTGAATGCAAGTGAAATGTTGAACCGATATAATCTAATATCTTGCTTATGAAAAGATGAAGATGAAACAACAAAAAAAGAAGAAGAAAAATGAGTAAAAACAAAAGGGAATAGGCTTTTCATGGGCCAAGTTTATCTTTACTTTTTTGCGCTCTTACTCTTCCACTCTCTTTGCTCCTGTTTGAAGCCAATTAAGTAAACCTTTTGATCGGATTGGAGGTTTGCCTGACAATCAGGCCAAATAATGGTTTTTGCCTTGAAATTGATGAGAAACTCCACCATTTAGACAGTTAATTCCAGCCTCGAGATGAAATGAGATGTTTCATTTTTTGCCTCATTTTACTTTTTCTCCTCATCTCTTTATCTTTCCATCGCACCATTTTTAAACATCATCATCATTATCATTATTTTTCACTTTTTTCTTGTTCTTTCACTCATTCCCTTAAAACTTGAAAAACCTCAAAGTCGAGGCTCTTATTAACATCACTTAATGTTGATATAATACTTTTTGATTTAAAATGCTTTTTCCAAATACATTTTCCTTCTTCTCTTTGGGTTTCACTTTCACTCTTGTCTAGCCTCTTTTTTACCCTCTTTTCAACTTATTAATTTCATATCATTTCAAGGGTTACAAAAATCAGTGGCAAGTGTAAAAAGATTCAAGAAACATTTCTCATGACGAATGCTTCTAAATGTTTGACATTTACTTCTCACCATTCCAGGCTAAGCTTGGCCTTAAGGTTTTTTGCCCTCAATTTTACTTTAAATTCAACATTTTTCCTTGCAGTTTGTTCTTGAAGGCAAAGGCTGCACAATAAAAACTGTCAACTTGTTCACTTATGTGATCAAGTTTCGTTGCCTATGAAGTAAAAGCACATCATTATTCTGAATGTTTCCTTTGAATCTTTTTTTTCTCACTTTTTTCCTCCTTTTCTCCTCAAATCTCGAGTAAAACTTTTCTACTTTTGAGATAATTTTAAAGGTGACGAACAAGGATGCATGATAAATCCTTTCGTTTTCATTTCCCAAACTCAAGTGCGAAATTTAAATTTAAATGTTTTCCATGTAAAGGCAAATGTAAATACTTTTTAACTCTGATAAAGTTATGTTCAACTTATTTTCGCCAACTGTTTCTCCTTTCCATTCCAATATAATGTTTCATCGATCAAGATCTTTTCATGACAACTTATAAACAGTAATGTAAAAGGGTTACATCTTCAACTTCACTTCATTATCGTGCATCAAAATAATTGTTGCAAGACTGTTGCTCGATAAAACAACATTCGCTACATTGACCTATTCTGCCTCTAACTTTACTTTTTTTTGATGAAAATTCGAAAATTCTATAAAATTTTCAAATTATCAGAGAAACTATACATTTCATGCCTCAAGAGCTCGTTCAGAAGTCGACAGGATTTAATTCATTAAGACTTCGAATTATGTTGCTTTATTTTTTTCAATCAAAGAAAAGAATTGCAAAAATTTCTGCGCTTATTTTAGTTGCTCATTCAAAGCTATTCCGATGAAAAGATGAACAATTTGCTCATGAAAATTTGCGATTTTCCTGCGTATTTACACGCTGTTATTTTCATTTTTACACTTTAATGAGCAACATTTCAACATTCATGAAACATGTAATGAGTTAAATTAAAGGGTAAAAGTGAATAATTTCATCTCATAAATAATGTTAATCTGAAAATGTGAAAAGTTAAAGGAACAAGGAAAAGTGTAAACAAGATTAAAAAGCAAATGAGCAAAGGTGAATGAGTTTGAACCCTTTAGACAAACACTGATAACCTCAATGTTAACATATAAAATAATGAATGACACTGATCTCAATAATAGGAAAGGGTTACCTTGTTTCATTTGCTGTATGATAAATTGCTCGAATTAAAGATTGTTGAAAAAAAAGGTGAACACAAAAGTTGCTAATGAGAATATTAATTGAGGTTAAAAAGAGAAGAAAAATTTTCCCTTCAAAAGATACCATTTTTTTGCATTCTCTACAATTGCGATGCCATGAGAAGATAAGATGAAAAGTTGAAAGGTTCAGGGAAGGAAGAAAAGTGGTAAAATTGGTAAAAGTGAAAACAATGGGAAATTGTGCAGAAAGAGTTATTTTGTTGGAAGCTCTTCTTTTACAGGGCAAATTGAAATTCATCTTGTATTGCTCTTTCATGGAATAATGATGATAATCATGAAATGAATGAGCCTGAGAAGAAGAATGAAGATGAAAGGGAAAAGAAAATGAACATTTTTTTCTTCCAAGGGTTGGAAATGAGGTAAAATGAGTTATAGATGAGTGTAGAGAAACAAAGCTCATAGGTTATATCGTCAGGAATCAATTGTCTGGGAGTGAAAAATAGCTAAGCCAAGAAAAGTCGAGAAAAGTCAGGAAAGATTAAAGGTAAAGATGCTAAAGGCGAAGTGAGAATTTTGACAAAAAGCGTTTTCTTTTTTCGTTCATTGCTTTCAAAAGGGTAAAGTTAAAGATGGAAATTATCGGAAAACTTGGCGAATTGGGAATTTATTGTTTATCAAATGATGCCTTATAATCATTTATCGGCTCATTTATTACAAATCAATGGTTCGTTTACTTGGAGCTTTGGCTTTTCAGGAAAAAAAAGTTTTATTGCAATTCTTACCTTCATCGTGATATTTTTGAGCATTTTGAATAAGAAGAGCACTTCGATAATCTTTAGTTGAAAGTCTTTCAATCTTTTGCCGGTGATTTATGGGTAAACTTTGTTCTCGGTGTTGCCATCTAACAAAATCAATTGGATAACCAATGACTGGGCACCGGATAAGAGCATCACGACCAGCAACTAGGGTTAGATTAACAGTTGATTTATACCTTGGAGTGGGTGAACCTGGGATGTATAAAGTTGTCGAGGAAACAGCTGAACCAATATCATTGACTGCCTTACATTTATATTGACCTCCATCAATAACTTCAAGTGAGGTAACATTAAGATAGCTATACAACACTCCATCATTTGATACATAATCTCCAATTGAGTATCGAAGGTTATCATTGTTTGATGGTAAAGATGATAAAACGGAAGAAGAAGAAGATGATGATGATGATGATGATGGTTTAACCTTTTTTCCTGATGAAGATGAGCTGGCCATTAATTCAACCTCATCAAGAGACCAAGTAACTTCCGGCAATGGACTACCAGTTGTGATGCATTTAAGTGATACTGTTGATCCTGGTTGAGAGACTATTTCAGACGGTAAAGGTTGCACTATGATGGGTGAAATGTCTCCCAACTTGAGGGTTGACGAACTGCTTGACGACTCATAGTCATTGGAGGCAAAACATTGATAGGTTCCGGCAGAGTCACGAACCACTGAGGCAACATTGAGAGTCGATATTTTTAATGAGCGATTGTAAAAGTGAATCTCACCGGGTGAATTTTCAAGGCTCAATGATCGACCATCTTTAAGCCACATTATTCGAGTCTCGGGTCGAGATGAGGTTACCGAGCAAACAAAGGCCACTGATTTACCCAGGTCTGTTGTGACCGAGGAAGGTGTTACAGTTACCGTCAGGGGAACTTCAACATTCAATGTGATTGTTGCCTTTTCACTGCCAGCAACATTAGAGACTATACAAGTGTACCGACCATGGTCAACAAGGGAGGTTGAATAAATGATAAGGCATCCATCTTTGATTTCAATTTCATCAGTTGATTGAATTGGATTATTAATTCCATTGGAATCTTCCTTGAACCAACTGGAGAGAACAAGAGAAAGAGAAAAAAGATCAACTTTTGGTTATTCCAAATCAATCATTATCTTTCTGTTTTCCAACATCATGACATATTCATTTTGCTTTCAAACTAAAACTCGATTATTAGCTGACCATTTTATTACCATGAAAATGCATCTCGATAAACTTGACGAGTAATCATTTCTCTTTGTCCATCATTCAACATGATCATTTCCTGCTAATTCATTTATATAAATTATTAAACGAAATAAAGTCTTCGAATTGTTGATCGAACTTGAACATTTAATCAACTCTAACCAAGTCTTTTGTTTTTCATCATTTCTCACTTTATCATCGCTCATCATCTCAATTTTCAAATTCGATATTTTTCCTTATCAATATCATTAACTTGATGATTGATGTTTTCCAACATATCCGAATCTCTTTCATGATAAAGAAGGAAATAAGGTGTAAAAACGTAAAAAATGTTGAAAATGTGGAAAATAGTTTATCATGGAAGAAGGAAAAATCTCAATTTTCTCTTTTTTATCCAACATTAAAATGCAAAAGTCAAAATTGCAACCAATAAATTTATCTGATATAATAATTCAATCTCATGGTGTGTTTACATTTGCAAAATGATAGACACAAATTCATGATGAATCAGCTTCTTATTTGATCAACCTTTCACTTCCTTTCCTCTCGCCTCATCTTTTGTTCATCTTTTCTCATTCACTTGAGAATTGCCATTCTTTATGGTTTTCATTTTTTTGCGGTAAATAAAAAGTTTTGCATTTATCCATTTTTTTGCCTTCAAATTTAACTTCCGATTTCCGATTGAGAATTGTAAAGAATTATAAAGAAAAATGAAGTTTAAAGAAAAGGACCAAAAATGTGAAAACAAAAGATTGTGTGGAAAAGAAAAATTGCAAGATTTTGGTGCAAAAAAAGCGAAGAAAAAGTTGAACGAAAAAATTCCAAGATTGAGTTCTACAGGGAATTGCAGTGTTATTACAAAATTGACAGTTTTTTCATCAATTTGACAGACGATTCCGGAAAGAGTTTAATGATAGTTATTGAATACATATATCTTTTTGTGTATAATACAGAAGAATGTTGGAATTGAATTTGGCTGAATTTATTTTCTCTTCTTTTCCTTTTTTGGCTAATGTTGTTGTCAACATTAATAAGACAGACAGATAGACATGAGACGCCATGATAATGCTGTAACCAAATTGCGTGACTTAATCTTTGCTCAAAAGTTGCGACTTTCATTATTGAATAATAACTTGATAAAGAGAGGAAAGAGAAAAATTGAGAAAAGACAATTTTCCAATTTTTCATTTCATCAACTAACTGTTATCATGATGTTTAGTATTTGGGTGAATACATTTTTGATGTACTGTACATGGTCAAGGATGGGAGGTGAAACAAAAATGTTTATCAAACGTTCGCATATGTATTCATGATAGACTTGGCTAGTTGAATGGTCAAGTAAAGATTTATGTGCTTTGAATGTCAAAACTGTTATTTTTAAATCTTCTAGACTTTCATTTATCATTCAACATTCCATCCAGGATCTCACCTTATGGTAATAATGATTATAGATTTACACACTTTTCTTTCTCTCTTTACACTTTTTCATTGAAAATACACACAATTTAATCAGAGTCAGAAGCTCTTTTTTTGCTTTTCCATGCTAAATTGAAAGAATGTAGAAATGTTCATTGTTATTCTGTTTATCTTTTAAAAATTTTGTAACATTTCAAACACTTGATATTACGATAAAAAGAAAAGTTCCATCAATTGATTTAAAAGATTATCAGGAAAACTGATGAGATTAAGAACTAAAAAGATAAGAAGTTTACAGAGCATTTGGTGAGTAAAGTTAAGTTTAATCTTTCGTGACAAGATGCTGACCATTAAATACAGCGAACGAGTCAACGAATTACAACGAATCAAAATAGTTATAAAGACCGTTTCAGCTATTTTACCGATGCTGCAGAGCTATAACTTAGCCGGTGATTAACCTATAGACTCGACAATCTTTTTTATGGAAATCCATTACACTGATCCACAATTGTCGTATTTCAAGGTCGCGGTCATCCAAGGTCATTTTCTAAATTAGCTTCTAACGATATACGAGGTCAAACTGAGGTAATATCCAGCAACGCTCCTCAAAAATATGGCTAGTTTAATGAATTTTTATCATTTGCAAGACACAGAAACCATAACGGTCTTTTAATAAAATAATATTTAATTCCGAGAACAAAACATTACATCATGATATTAATTTTATTGTAAATTTATTTTTGAGATACATTTCTACGAAAAATGATTTGTGAAAGTGGATGAAATAACATAGTAATAATTGTGTAAAGTCTCGCAATTTAGTTAAAGCAGAATTAGTTATTCTCAAATTCCAGAAAGTCCATGCTACTCGTTGGATATGCCGATCAGGTGTGAACTTTTCAATAAAAATTTGCAATTGCTTCTAGAGCTTCGGGAAATGTAATAATTAAACAAAATACTAACATAATCCATTCAATTTAAATTTCATATGCAAAGTGTAGATCCTCGTCGGTGTTACCCGTTTATTGATTATTCCCAAATCTAACAGCTCTTAATGACCAGATAAATTCAGATCGAGAACTTTTCATTCTCTATTTTCAAGATAAATTTTGAAATAGATAAAGATTGATAGGTAAACATCATATGCTATGAATGATTTTGGATGTATCATGAAAATGAAAAATGTAGAGATAAACAAGTTTGTCCTCGAACTATCTCTTGTGGCCATCTCGAACAAGTGTTGAACCAGAACTGTCCGACCAAGATTTTCGATGAAAATGTAGGACTGAAAAAGGCTTCGGCCAGCATAGTAAATCATACTAGACTCAGGTTATTCAACCATTCTTTTTTGCCTTATCAGGTGCAATAGTTTGATAAAACCGGTCTTCACATTGTATCGATATGATGTCATTCGCTTTTTTGAAGTTTGCGAAGATTTATTTATAGTGATGAAAGAATGGGCTACTCAAACTTCAGAACTAGTTTAGAGGTCACATAAACGAATGACCTTGAATGAACTTGAAACCTCAGAAATTTATTCTTCAATTCGTAAAAGCAAACCGTTGAAATATAAATACCCTGGCATGTTTGATTCTTTAGATATTGAATTAAAATTGGTATAAATGAGGTTGAATAGTTCTGTATGTAATTATACTTTTATCAGTATCGCAGTATGAATTTTTCTTAATTAAACCTTTCTGTCAACTTTAAATTTACAGTTTGGGATACAACAAATTCTCCTTTAAAACAAAATTTGCAATTCTAATAGAAAAAAATAACAAAAAATTTGTCTAATAACATTGGCTCAATTATCATCCATTAGCTATCAGTTATCAATTCTGTAAATTATATCATTCCCCGCTGTTTTTAACCCATGATGGACTGACAATGACCCAAAGAAAATTGCAATTATAATCAACCAACCATACCAAATAACATTCAATCATTGAATGCAATTCTCTCAATTGCAACTTGATAACAGTTTTTTTGTTAGAGTCGTCTACTATTCCTGTACAATCTTGCATTGTATTGATGGTAAATACATGGCTAATGTTGAAATAAAATACCAAAGAAAATGTGTTATCATGAAAGATTGAGAGATGAAATAAAGTTACGTCAAGTCGAAAGGAAGCAAAGCAACAAAAAACAAAGTTTCAATGCAATAGTAAAAGAAGGGAGATAAAAAAAGAGTAAATTGGAAACTTATTATATTCACTATTATATACTTTTTTCCTCATTTTTTTGCACTTGTTCTGTTGATGTTTATTGTCCCATCCTTTCTTGTCTATCGTTGTCATCTTCAATACTTGAATGATGAAACAAGATGGAATGTCAGAATAAAATGGAATGAATAAGAAAAATTTTGGTTTCTCAAGTTGGAAGGGAAGCAGCAGGAAAAAGAAAAGAGAAAAAAAGATATTCGAATGATGTAAAAATGAGAAAAGCTTAAATTTTACATTTAAATTTATTTTATTATTCCTTCAACCCCAACAACATTCATTTATTAACTTATAAAAATAATCTTTTATTGTTCCGTTATAAATAACTTACATCTTATTCTCATCATTTCACTTTCCTTTTCCTGGTGAACTTTCCTCATGCAAAGAGCAACAACATCATCATGATAATCATAAACAACAATGATTCTAATGATAACTGAACAGAACACAAATGAGATTTGAAACTTTCAATGTGATTAAAAAATAGAACAAGATGAAAAAGGAAAAAATTATATGAAAATTGAATTATTGTTGCGACTCTTGTCTTCAAGTTTTTCACTCCCTGACCTTGCATGGGATTTTGCGTGATTTGGCCAAAATGATTTAAAACTAAATAGAATATCATGAATTTTTTCTCCTTTTCTCTTTTCAACATTCTATTCGTTTTGCTTCTTCTTTTGATTCCTTTTGATAAGCACTGAACCTTTATCCATTCACTTTTCACTCTTCATCATCTTCATTTTTTTAAGAAGCAAAACTTTTTCTTCAACTTTTTTACTTCTCTTTTCCATTCAGTTCCTAATTTTTTTTCCTCTCTTTCGTCTATTCATGATTCGCATTGAATAAGAAATGATAAAGAATGCCCATTGTTAACTCACGATGATCACAGTTGAAAGTATTACTTATTATTTTGATTGAGATAAGTAATGGCAGAAATGTTTGTCTTCTTTTTCGTTTTTTTCGTTCTTTTCTCAATTCAAAGATTATTTTTCATAGAATTTGAAGAAAAAAAAGTCTTCTTCTTTTCCCTTCCTTTTCAATTTCTTCTCCTCATGTTCATCATTTTATTATTAACATATTTGCTCATCATCATGTTCATACTGAGAAAATTTATTGAACCAATTTCATGTCTCATTCAATTGTTCTGCCATGGATAATGTCAAATGCCATGGGAATCTGCAATTACAATTTGTTTTTTTCCTCTCTTCAACTTTTTTCTCTTCTTCTTCTTTT